CATAAATGGAGGGGGAAAGGATGGAGAGAAAGACAAAGATAGTAATCATAACTGTGAATGTGGATGGGATGAACTCTTCCATAAAATGGAAGCAGATAGCAGAATGGATTAAAAATCATAATCCTACAATATGTTGTTTACAGGAAACACATTTGAAAAAGAGTGACACACACACAGGGTAAAAGTAAAAGGCTGGAGAGGAATATATTATGCTTCAGCTGAACTAAAAAGCAGGGGTAGCAATCCTGATCTCAGACAAAGCAAAAACAGAAATAGATCTTATCAAAAGAGATAAGGAAGGAAACTACATCCTGCTAAAAGACACCATAGACAATGAAATAATATCATTACTAAACATAATATGCACCAAATGGTACAGCATCCAAATTTTTAGAGAAGTTCAGGGAGTTACAGGAAGAAATAGACAGCAAAACTATACTAATGGGGGACCTCAACCTCCCCCTCTGAACTAGATAAATCTAATCACAAAATAAACAAGAAAGAAGTTAAGGAGATGAATAGAATATTAGAAAAGTTAGGTATGATAGACCTCTGGAGATGGGGATGAATGGAGATAGAAAGGAATATGCTTTTTTTTCTCAGCGCAACATGGCACATACACAAAAATTGACCATGTGCTAAGGCATAAAAACCTCAATCTGATACAGAAAGGAAGAAATATTAAATACATCCTTTTTAGATCATGATGCAATAAAAATTACATGTAATAAAGGGCCATGGAAAGATAGACTAAAAAATAATTGGAAACCAAATAATCTAATCCTAAAAAATGATTGGGTCAAACAGCCAATTATAGAAACAATCAATAACTTCATTGAAAAGAATGACAATAATGAGACAACATACCAAAGCTTATGGGATGCAGTGAAAGCAGTTCTTAGGGGAAGTTTTATATCTCCAAATGCTTACATACATAAAATAGAAAAAAAGGAGATCAATGAATTGGGCATACAACTAAAAATACTAGAAAAAGAACAAATTAAAAATCCTCAATTAAACACCAAATTAGAAATATTGAAAACCAAAGGAAAAATTAATAAAATTAAAATTAAGAAAACTATTGAACTAATAAATAAAACTAAGAGCTGGTTTTATGGAAAAAAATAAAATAGATAAACCTTTGGTTAATTTAATTTAAAAAAAAAAGAAAGAAAACCAAATTACCAGTATCAAGAATAAAAGAGTGAATCCACCACCAAGAAAGAGGAAATTAAAACAATAATTAGGAACTATTTTGCCCAACTGTATGCCAATAACTTTGACAATCTTAGTGAAATGGATACATATTTACAAAAATATAAATTGCCCAGATTAACAGAAGAAGTAAAATACTTAAATAACCCCATCTCAGAAAAAGAAATTGAAAAAGCCATTGATGAACTCCCTAGGAAAAAATCTCCAGGGTCAGATGGATTTACAAGCAAATTCTATCAAACATTTAAAGAACAATTAATTCCAATACTATGTAGGCTATTTGGGAAAATAGGTGAAGGAATCTTACCAAAATCTTTTTCTGATACAAATATGGTGCTGATAACTAAACCAGGAAGAGTCAAAACACAGAAAGAAAATTACAGAATAATTTCTCTAATTAATATAGATGCAAACATTTTAAATAAAATATTAGCAAATAGATTACAGCAACTTATCACAAGAATAATACACTATGACCAGGTAGGATTTATACTAGGAATGCAGGGCTGGTTCAATATTAGGAAAACTATCAGTATAATTGATCATATTGACACCAAAACTAACAGAAACCACATGATCATCTCAATAGATGCAGAAAAAGCTTTCGACAAAATACAACACCCATTTCTATTAAAAACACTAGAGAGCATAGGGATAAATGGGGTCTTCTTTAAAATAATAAGTAGCATCTACCTAAAACCTTCAGCAAGCATCATATGTAATGGGGACAAGCTAGAAGCATTTCCAATAAGATCTCCCATGAAACGAGGATGTCCATTATCACCACTCTTGTTCAATATCGTACTGGAAATGTTAGCTTTAGCAATAAGAGAAGAAAAAGAAATTCAAGGTATTAGAATAGTCAAAGAAGAAACAAAGCTATCACTATTTTCAGATGATATGATGATATATTTAGAGAATCCTAGAGAATCAAGCACAAAACTACTTGAAATAATAAACAACTAGCAAAGTTGCAGGCTATAAAATAAACCCACATAAATCATCAGCATTTCTATATATTACCAACAAAGCCAAACAGCAAGAGATAGAAAGAGAAATTCCATTTAAACGTACCATAGACATAAAATATTTAGGAGTCTACCTCCTGAAACACACCCAGGTACTATATGAACACAATTACAAAACACTTTTCACACAAATAAAATCAGATCTAAGTAACTGGAAAAACTTCAGTTGCTCATGGGTAGGCTGAGCTAACATAATAAAAATGACCTAAGCTAATTTACTTATTCAGTGCCATACCAATCAAGCTACCAAAAATTATTTTATAGAGTTAGAAAAAAATAAGATTCATTTGGAAGAGCAAGGTCCAGAACATCAAGGGAACTAATGAAAAAGAAATACAGGGGAAGGTGGCCTACCCATTCCAGATCTTAAATTGTATTATAAAGCAGCAATCATCAAAACTGCTTAGTACTGGCTAAGAAATAGAGTGGTGAATCAGTGGAATAGGTTGAGTATGCAAGACACAGTAGTCAATGACTATAGTGATCTATTTGATAAACCCAAAGACCCCAGTTTCTGGGATAAGAACTCACTCTTTGACAAAAACTGCTGGGAAATCTGGAAAAGAGTATGGCAGAAATTAGGCATAGATCAACATCTCACACCATATACCAAAATAAAGTCAAAATGGGTTCATGATTTAGATATAAAGGCTGATACTGTAAGCAAACTGGGAGAGCAAGGAATAGTTTACCTATCAGATTTATGGAGAACAGAAGAATTCATGACAAGAGATAGAGAACGTTATGAAAAGCAAAATGGATAACTTTGATTACATTAAATTGGAAGGTTTTTGCACAAATAAAGTCAACGCAACCAAGATTAGAAGGAAAGTAGAAAATTGGGAAAATTTTTACAACCAGTGTCTCTGATAAGGGCCTCATTTCTAAAATATATAGAGAATCAAGTCAAATTTATAAGAATACAAGTCATTCCCCAATTGATAAATGGTCAAAGGCAATGAACAAGCAGTTGTCAGATGAAGAAATTAAAGCCATCTATAGTCATATGAAAAAATGCTCTAAATCACTATTGATTTGAGAAATGCAAATCAAAACAACTGAGGTACCATATCACACCTATCAGATTGGCCAACATAACAAAACAGGAAAATGATAAATGTTGGAGAAGATGTGAGAAAATTCGAACACTAATGCATTGTTGGTGGAGTTGTGAAATGATCCAGCCCTTTTGGAGAGCAATTTGGAACTATCCCCAAAGAGCTATAAAAATGTGCATACCCTTTGACCCAGCAATAGCACTTCTAGGGCTATATCCCAGAGAGATCATACAAATGGGAAAAGGACCCACATGTACAAAAATATTTATAGAAACTCTTTTTGTGGTGGCCAATAATTGGAAATTGAGAGGATGCCCATCAATTGGGGAATGACTGAACAAGTTGTGGTATGTGAATGTAATGGAATACTATTGTGCTGTAAAAAATGATGAATAGGCGTGACTTCAGAAAAACCTGGAAAGATTTGTATGGTCTGATGCTGAGTGAAGTAAGCAGAACCCGGAGAACATTGTACACAGTAAAAACCTCATTGTACAATGACTAATATTGATAAACTTAACCCTTCTCAGCAATACAAGGAACTAAGACGTCCCCAAAGGTCTCATGTTGGAAAATGCTAGAAAGAACTATGCAGTTTGAAAGCAGATCGAAGCATACTATTTGATTTTTTTTTTCTTCTGTTGTGTTTTGTTTCCTCTTTCCAGTGGTTTCTCCTATTGGTTCTAGTTTTTATTCACAACATCAGTAATATGAAAATATGTTTAATAGGAACGTATATGTATAGCCTATATCAGATTGCACTCCATCTAGGGGAGGGAAGAAAAATTTAAAACTCAAACTTATGGAAGTGATTGTTGATAATTCAAAATAAATTTTAAAAAGTGGAAGAAAAAGCAAAAGCAAGCTGTGCATAATAAAGATCTGCAACCTTCTCTGTTCTACTCTATATGAAAGTGTTGTTTTAGTTGATTTTTAAGTTCAGAATTTTTTAAATGAGATAATTAAAATTGTACAATGGATGGAGAATGGGAAGCATTTATTTGAAGAAAGGTTGTGAAAGTGAAAAGGGGGGGAAAGGCATATAACTTAAAGATACAAGAGGAAGTGGAAGGTCTATCTGCTTGCTTGCTTGTTTGTTTATTTTTGGTTAAACCTTGCTTTATGATAAACCAAATGATTAATCCAGGAATTAGTTATTTACTACATATAATTTTGTTCTCAGAGTATGATAGAACATAGATAAACTATCTTCTTATAAGTGTGCATAAAGGAACTTAAAATTTTGAGCTACACAGTAAAAACAGGTGCTCAGTTTGCAGTCTTTTTAACCTTTCTCGATTAATGCAGGTATATATCTTGTAGGAAAACCTGGTTTAAAAAAAATCTGGATTTTAAAAACTGATAAACTAAGAAGGAGAGAATATTATTTAACAGAAGAATTGCTTTCTGAATTCCTTTAAGTCATTCAGTCATCAAACATTCTAAGTGTCCGACACTGTGCTAAGCTCTGGGGGGATACAAAGAAAGGCAAAAACTCAGGGACAAAATCATAAAAGGGCTGGGCATAGCAGTGCACATCTGTAGTCTCTGCTACTGGGGAGGCTGAGGCTGTTGGATCACTTAAATTGGAAGTTTTGAGCTGCAGCGGGGTTTAAAAACCTGTTGGGTGTCTGCATTCTCTAGCACTGATGCTTGTTTATGAAGTTGTTATCAATATCTTTCTATTTTTAATTAACAGATCCATTGAACTTGGAAAACTACTAAAGACAAGAAGAAGATAACAAAGAGAAGTAAAAATGCCGAAACCAGTAAGTGTATCAGTTGATTTCTTTTGACTTAAAAGAGGAAAATGTTGTAGAAAGTATTGAATTAAGTCCTTGGCTTGAATCTTAGTTTTGCTATATGTGTGAAAAAGTCATTTATCCTCTCCAACCCCAAATGGTCTTTAAGGTCTCATCTAGCTCGATGATGATGATGGTGATGATGATAATGATAATAATAGCTAGCATTTATATAGTGCTTTATGATTTGCAAAGTGCTTCACAAATATTCTCAATTTCTCCTTATAACAACCCTGGGAAGTGGATGCTATTGTTATCCCTGTTTTACAAATGAGGGAACTGAGGCAGACAGAGGTTAAGTGACTTGCCCAGTATCACACAGTTAGTGTCTGAGGCCAGATTTGAATTCAGGTCTTCCTGAGGTCCAGCATTCTATCAACCACCTATGAGATTTTTATAGGAAATTATACTATATGAATTCTATTCATTAGTCAGCAAATATTTTTTAAGTGTCTGTTACCTACAAAACAATGTGTTAGGCTGTGGTGATTAAAAAAGACAAAAATAAAAAACAGTCCCTGTCCTCAAAGAGCTTGTATTCTGCAGTTGGCTCCCCAATTATTTGATTACAGAGCTTAACCTTGACTGGTGGCAACAACTTAATGATAGGGGTGATACAAGACTCCACATTGTTTTACCCTTTTTATGATGCTTCCCTTATCCTTTAACCTCTTCATTTTTTAATTCCAAGAAAATATACCTCTTTTTTAAAAAAAAATTTTATATGTATAATTTATTTTTAGTTTTCAACATTCACTTCCATAAGCTTTTGAGTTTTAAATTTTCTTTCCCTCCCTCCTTCTATTCTTTCCTCCCTCCTTCCTTCTCCTTCTTCCTTCCTTCCCTTCCATAGTTTTACATGCATTTGACCCTCAGAATAACCCGATGATGTGCATAGGTACTAGAAGTATTATTATCTTAATTTTTCATTTGAAGAAACTGAGGTTTTCTTATCTTTTATCCCGGAGAGATTAAGTGATTTGTTCATGTTCATATCATGTAGTAAGTTTTGGAGGTAGGATTCAAATCTAAATCTTGTGACTTCAGGTCCAACTTCTTTACATTATACAATGGTGTCTCTATCAAGAATTATGTTGCAGTGCAAATGGTCATTTAATGAGTATTTTTGTAAATTGGGATTTATGTATCCAAACTTTAATACCTGTGCTGAATTCCATTCCATCTTCAGCAGCTGCCTATTCACCTATACCTTGATATTCCATTGACATCTTAATCTCAGTACACTTAAAATGAAGTTCATCATCCAGTTAGTTGGCAGGTCTTGCTGATCCTAGCTCCATAGCATCTGGCTCCTACCTACCTTTCTAGATTTACTTTATATCAGTCCCTTTAATGCACTCTGCGCAACCTGCTCACTGCTCCCCAAAATGGATGCTCTAAGCCTTTGTGCACAAAGGCTGTTGCCATTGCTGGAGTACATTTTCTCCCTCTTCACCCTCCCTCTTAGAGTTCTTAATTTCCTTCAAGGCTGAGTTTCTATTCAAAGCCTTCCCTAAATTCTGTAGTTGGTTAATAGTCTCTTTCTCCTCAAATTACCTTGTATTTACTTACCTATGTACATACTATTTCCTTAGTAAAATATGATGTCCTTGAGACTAAGTACTACTTTTTATGCTTTATCTTTTTATCTCCAGGCCTAGCCCAGTCAATAAACATTTATTAAGCCCCTAGTATGTGCCAAGCCTTGTGCTAAGCACTAAGGGTACAAAAAGACACAAAGACAATCCCTACCCTCAGTCATACTGTAATGGGGGACAGGAGTGGGAGAGTGAAAAGAAGGGGACGAACAAGCATACAGATATGTATGAACAAGCTATATACAGGATAAATAGGAAATAAGTTAACAAAGAGAAGGCATTATAATTGAGAGGTTGGGAAAGGCTTCATGTAGAAGATCGTATTTCATCTGGGCCTTTAAAGGAATCCAGGAAAGGGAGTAAGCAGAGATAAAGAGGGAGAACAGTCCAGACATAGGGGCAGTCAGAGAAAATGTCTGGAGCAGAGAGATGAGAGCGTCTTTTAATGGAATAGCCAGGAGACCAGTGTCACTGGATTAAAAAATGTGTTTTGGAGGAAGGTGTAAGAAGACCAAAAAGGTGTGTGTGGGGGGGGAGGGAAGAAGGAGTCCTAACTTAGAAGGGGCTTTGAACACCAAACAGACAATTTTGTATTTGATCCTGGGAGTGAGCTCTTGAGTAAGGGAGTTGACCTGGTCAGACCTACGCTTTAGAAAAATCACTTTAAAGGCTAAATGAAGGATAAATTGGAGTGGGGAGAGACTTGAGGCAGGCAAAACAAAATGGGTATAAAAGAAGTTTGATGTTGTAAGTTTGTAGCATTATACTTCTGAAGTTATTAAAGATTAAAACTGCACTAAGACTTTTGAGAAACTATATCTCTGAGAGAATAAAGAATTAAAACTAATCCCACAGAGATTATTATATGCCAGCTATGTGCACTGTTCTGTATTAAGCCTTTGGGGAGATATTAAGATATGTAAGATAAGCTTTTTTAGGGAGCCTACATAATAATAGAGGGACTTAAAATTTAATTTAGTTGCATATTATTTTACAGCTATTTAACCAGCTATAAAAGTTTGTCATATGAATAGCTTTATAAAAGATTAAGGTACTTGTTTAGTGCAGTATTGAATAAAAATACTTTTTCATTTTGCTTACTTTTTTTTTTTTATTACAGATCAATGTAAGAGTAACTACTATGGATGCAGAGCTGGAATTTGCTATCCAGCCCAATACAACTGGCAAACAGCTATTTGACCAGGTAAATTTATTGCCCACGTACATTTATTTTCACCATATGGCTTTTAATGAATTATATTGGGTGTTTTTAGGTACTATTTTCCATCTTCTCATTTTACACCCATCACTGATAATGTTATTAGTATGGTATATGTATTTTCTTGTTAACGTTAACATTTTTAATTACTGAGCACTGGGACAGGCCTTCTTTTATTCTTTTTTTTCCATCTTATTTATGTAGGGCAGTACATTTTCACAAAATGAAATTCAAAGAATGTTATTGAGTTCTTTATGTAGATTGGATACCACAAAAAATGAAATGCTATTAGTTTATTCTTTAAATGTGATTTTCTGCTTTTTTGTGCTATATTTGTTTTTGTTACTATATTATTACTATAGTTTGTTACTGCTTTTGGTACTATATTATTACATGTGCAATGCCTCTACTTGGAGGCATCTAAATGGTTTAGTGTGTAGAGTGCTGGATCTAGAGTCAGGAAGACTTGAATTCAAATCCAGTCGCAGACACTAACTTTGTGACCCTGGACAAGTCATTTAACCTCAGTTTCCTCAGCTGTAAAATAGGGATAATAAGAGCCTATCTGTCATGGCTATTGTGAGGATCAAATGAGATAATATGTGTAATGTGTTTGGTACATTGCCTGGCTTATAGTGTGCTTAGTAAATGCTGGTTTCCTTCCTTATCTCTCATGGACAACATCATTCAACAAGCTGTTTTCTTTTGAAGTTTGCAGTATCTTCCATCCAATCCAGATAATGGTGGTTATCCTATATTGGTCTTGAGGTCATTTGCAATTCTTTCTCAAGGAGTTCAGTATCTAATTTACTGTCTTCCTCTCTTTTCCAGCTCCTGCCCTTATACTCTTTCAATCTCCCTAACTGTTCAGTTTCTCAGTCTCCATATTTCTCATCATCTATTCTTGCATTCCACCTCAGCCACACATGTTCACATACTGGATCACCATTACTCAGAAATCTTACATTTGCCCAATTTAAAACTCTGGTGTTCCTCTATCTGGCCATTATCATTCTATTTCCCCATATGCTGCACCTTTCCTAAACCCATTCTTTGCCTTTATTGAAATCTCCAAGCCCTATAACTTTCAGTACTTTCTCAGGCCATTACCTCTGATCTGATTTCACTTCTTTTCGTCTCCATTCTTGACCTTATAGTTATCTAGTTCATCTCAGCATTGCTGTCTTTTCTTGCCTCTTTGTCCTATTACCCCTCATTTTCTGCTAAAACTCAGCCATGGATTACTCCTACCCTCTGAATCCTCAGTTCCTACTCATGTACTGCTGAACAGAGGAGAAAGCCTTCACTGCAACAAGGCAAACCTTTTATTTTTTATTTTATTTATTTTTTTTCTTAGTTCTCTATCATACTTTCCATAAAAGCTTTTCTAAATATTTTCTTTCTCTCTTCAAACCCTCTCTGTCTCAACTGAAGACCTAATTCCTATTATACTGAGAAAATTAGAATAATAATTATAATATTTATCATTTATGCAGTACTTTAAGTTTCAAAACACTTTATATGTTATCTTACTTGAGCCTCATGACAACCTGGGAGATAGATGCTATTATTATCCCCATTTTACAGATGAGAAAAATACAGCACAGAGAGTTTAAGTGACTTGCCAGTGGTCACACAACTAGTAAGTGTTCGAGGCAGGATTCAAACTTGGGTCTTCCTGACTCAAAGTCTAACACTTTATACACTGTGACACTTAACTGCCTCATTGAGCAACCATTGTTACAGTACTTCTTTCTTAAAGTTTGTAAAGCACTTCACAAATATCCCCCCTCCTCTTCTTTTCATCTCAAACCTCCTTATGTCATCCCCAATGTCTCTGACTTTTCCTCAGCCTCTCAGAATAAGGTGACCTTTCTTTTTGTTAAGGTCAACCTCTCCACAGGTACAGTTGATCTCTTCCCCTTGTGTTTTCTCCAGCAGATTGTAACTTTAATCTCTCTAATCTTCAGTCTCTTATTTACTGTTTTTTTCTCAACTGGCTTTAGATGTGCCCATGTATCTCTCTTCCTTTAAAAAAAAATCTTTTCTGGACCCTACCTTTCCTTCAAGCTGTTGTCTTATACCTCTCTTCCTTTTCTCTGATGAACTCAGAAAAAAGTCTGCAATCTCTGCCTGAACTTCTTTGTTCTCACTCTTCATCCCTTTGCAGTGTGGTCCCTACCTATCATTCAACTAAAACTGCTTCCTTCAATGTTACAAAGGATCTCCTACTTACCAAATCTGTGTATTTTTTTTTTTTTAAAGATTGCATGCTTCTTGGCCTCTCTGCTACATTAAACATCGTTGATCACCCTCTCCTCCTGGATTTTTTCTCTGGGCTTTTGTGATATTACTGGTTCCTGGTTCTCCTCCTATCTGCCTAACTCTTCCTTCTCTTACTCTTCTTTGCTGGTTCTTCATCCATATTATCACACCTAACTGTAAATGTTCTCCAAGGCTCTATCCTAGGCCCTCTACTTTTCTCTATATATACTCTCTCAGTGAACTCATCACTTCCCTTTCATTTAATGCTTATTCTTAAGCTTCTGACTTCCAAATCTACAGTATTCAGTTCCAGTCTTTCACCTGAGCTTCCATCTCATATCACCAATTACCTTTTAGACATTTCACACCGAAGGTCCTGGAGCAATCTTAAACTTAACACGTCCAAAACATAACTCATCATTTCTCCAAAACCCACCCCTATTCAAAACTTGCCTGTTTCTGTTGATAGCACTATTATTCTTAACAGTATCCCAGGCTTGTAATCTTTGTGTTATCCTGGACTCCTCACTCTCCCTCACCCTACATATCTAAAGATTTTCCTTAAGCACAATCTGACACCCCTCTCCCCAATTAAACTTAAGTGTTATCATGTTGCCTTAAAATCAAATGTAAATTCCACTATTTAGCATTCAAAGCTCTACAAACCTGGCCCCAATCTATCTTTCTAGCCTTATTGCACATTATTCTCCTTTTCTTCCACATGCACAACACCTGTTTGTGTGCCTTTGCACTGGCTATAACCCTATGCCTGGAATGCATCTTCTCCTTCTGCTTTCTAGAATCTTTTTTTTCCCTGAAGATAAAGCTCAAGGACTACTTTCTCTGTGAAACCTTTTCTCATCACCTCAACTGCTACAGCATTTTTTCTCAATTACTACTTTTTGTTTATTTGTATTTAGGCTCTTTATATTTATTTGATATTATTTAAGAATGTCCTTGTTGCTTCTGATGGGATTGTTTCATTTATTGTACTTATTTTTCTGTACCTAGCACAGTGTTTGGCATATTATAGGAGCTTAAGAAATACTAGTTGGTTGATTCATAAAACTTCGCTCTATTCAGTACAGCAAAAAGTATAAGTACCTACTATGTGCAAGGCAGTGGGGATATAAAAAGAAAAGTGAAAAACAGTTCATGCCCTCAGGGAGCTTATGTTCTACTTATAAATCACATATAAACAGCTTACTAAATACAAAATAAAATGAGGAAGGAGAACTCTATCCCTGAAATAACTGCCTCCACACACTGGGATACTCATTGGCAATAGATTTGGTTGTAAAATGTGCATCAACATTTGACTTGTGTCTTGGAGGTATTAGTTATATTATGTACCTTACCTTTTAAATATATCATAAAAACTCAGTCTTAACAGGAATGTATATGTGAATCATTTTGTAAAACATAAGATATTTTTGAACTGTGCTTAAGGCCTTTACTACTTTCTTATCTTTTCACAAGTTTGTTGTATAGTAAATATTCTTAAATTCAAGCACACATATATCCATTTAGCCTTCCTCAAGCAGTTTCTGAAGTTCGTGGAGGCCTGAGGAAAGGAGGACACCAGGAGGGCTTTTTTCAGAGCACAGAGCTACAGGAAGCAGTATAAAATTTGACACAACAAATCGCAGTTTCATTAGCAGTTATATTCACTGCTATTTTGAGCATTGTGGTAGACGTTTTTAAAGACAGAGCAATCCTTCTCTGTGGTTGAAAATACAAGCTTATTTGCATTGAACCCTCAAAGTACAATGTTATGTAAATCCACTGTGAATGATCAACTAATACTGATCTGTTTCTCTGTTTTTTTAAGGTGGTGAAAACAGTTGGCCTGCGTGAAGTCTGGTTTTTTGGGTTGCAATATGTAGATAGTAAAGGCTATTCAACTTGGCTTAAGCTAAATAAAAAGGTAAATTATATGTAATGATTATGATCATTATATAGAGGCAGCTAGGTGTAGTACCTAGAGTGCTGTGCTTGGAGTCAAGAGGACTCATTTTGAATCTTGCCTCAGAACCTTCAAGCTGTGTTACCTTAGGCAAATCACTTATCATCTCTTTCAACCTTATTTTCCTCATATATAAAATGAATTTAATAATAACATCTACTTCACAGGGTTGTCATGGTATTCAAATTAGATAACATATATAAAGTGGTAGGCAGACTTTAAAGGACTGTATAAATGCTAACTGTTACATGTTTGCTGGCGGTATTTTAGAGTAACAGCACCTGTGTGGGTATACTAGTTTATTATCTGCATATAAACTGTACATCTGTCCCTCCCAAACTTGTCTAAAACCTAAATATTACTTATAATTGTTCTCTGGGGGAAAGGAAAAGCATTTACAAAGTGCCTACTAAGTAACAGGCACTGTGCTAAGTGCTTTACAAATAGTATCTCAGTTGCTCTTCACAACAACCCTAGGGGGTGGGTGCTCTTATTATTCCCATTTTACAGTTGAGGAAACTTAAAGAAACAAAGGTTAAGTGACTTGCCCAAGGTCACACAGCTGGTAAATGTCAGGGGCAGGTCTTGAACTTTAGGGAGCTCCTCTAATACCAGGGTAAGTCATCTTTGGACTGCCATTACAATTCCCTGCTTCCTAAATTCTCTGACATTCATTGTTCAATTCATTATTTTAAAGGAAGGTCTGATTCATTTATTTAGGAGAAGCATTCGAGTTTTGCTTGGCAAATTAACAGTAAAGCCAACAACAACATAACAGAGAAAAGTGGTTAGGAATTTGTAAGATGGGCAGACAGTCAAATCACTGATTGGTTGATCTTTGCATATTTTTCTAGAATTCTGCTTTTTTTCTTTTTAGAGTAATGTCTCCATGTTTTATGTTTAACTAGGGTTGGCTATGTTTGCAAGCGTATCTTAAATTTATTTAAGGCCTTTTGTTTATATATTTTTTAAAGTGCCATAGTCATTTCCCTATATTTCACTTCCCTTCTAAATCTCTTGTGTAAGAAATTAACTGATACAGCAACTGCATTTCACAGTTCAATTTAGTTCATGTGTGCAAGGCACTATTTTTTGCTTCTGGAGTTACCAAGACACAAAATATCATATGTATATACTATTGTCTTGATCCTCCTGTGGTTTGTTATCTAATGGAGAAATAAGATATGCAGAAAAGTTTGATGCAGGTATAATGTGGTAAAGCCAAGGGAGAGCTCTGAACATTGTATTCTAATAGAATTTGAGGAAGGAGAAATCAATTTTTGCTGAGACTATTAGATTTGTTATCTTCATGAAGGAATTTTTACCTGTGCTGGGCCTTGAAGGGAGAGAAGAATTCAGGGATGAGTGTCAGTGTCAGGCATTGTGGCAATATGAGTGGAAGGGGTTGGATGCAAGAGATGTTTTTGAGATATAATCCACATGATTCAACAACTGATTAGACAAAGGGTATGAGGAGGGAGTTTAAAAGGATTCCAAGATATCCAGCCTGAGTGTTTAAGAGGAGCCTTGCTACTGTAAACAGAAATAGGCAAGTTGAGAGGATAGATATGTTGGACATAGTAATTCGATGATAAGTTCCGTTTTGGATTGAAATGGTTGTGTCTAGGAAGCAGTTGGAAATTCCCAGAATGGAAGTAATATAGATTTGGGTAGTTATTTATATAGGGAGTATAATCAGAATATCTAAATGCCTATATATCCAAATCACTAAAAACTATATGCCAAACTAAGATCTTTTAAAACAGATTTTAAATTAAGTAAAATTTTAAAGTGAGTAGGATTAAAGATTTTGACCAGAAATAAATGAATCTTTAAGATAAGCTGACCAACAGATTATGAAGTTAAGTTGTATTTAGTTTTAGTTAAGTCTGCTTATAACTCTACATAGAATCAGAATTCTATGCTGTCTCAGAATTCTTTCCCTTAAATATACTTAAATAGGGGCTTAGATCATAGTATGAGATTTCTGCTATTGATAATATTCAAAACTACTATTTAAGGTAACACAGCAAGATGTAAGAAAAGAAAATCCTCTGCAGTTCAAATTTCGAGCTAAATTCTTTCCTGAAGATGTGTCTGAAGAACTAATTCAAGAAATAACACAAAGACTTTTCTTCTTACAAGTTAAAGAGGCAATCTTAAATGATGAAATATATTGCCCCCCTGAAACTGCTGTTCTTTTGGCTTCCTATGCTGTCCAATCTAAATATGGAGATCATAATAAGGAAATTCATAAACCTGGCTACCTGGCTAATGACAGACTACTACCTCAACGGTAAGTGAAAAATACTTTTTTATTGTATTCTTAATTGTTATTAATGTCTTTTGTTTTTTATCTTACCTTCATTTTCAAATATACCCAAGGACCATGGTTCATCATAATTATGTAGCATTTTGTTTCAGGGGTTTTCATTTATTTTCTTTCCATTTGCATTGTTATGGACATTGTGTACATTGCTGATGCCTTTATGCTGTCATCTCTAAAAACCTCCCAGAGTTGGTAAAGTTTTTCATGTTTTAAATTTTAACTAAAATCATGATCTGATTGCTCTTTGGAGTAAGACAGTCTATACAGTAATTACTTAGTGTCTCTCTCCCCAGTTAACCAATGTATGTTGTTTCACAACTGGATTTTATAAATAATAATCTGGCAGCACTAGATGGAAAATTTTGGTGCTTAAGTGGGGGAATTGGAAATGCTGTTGTTTAGTATAGATCTGACTACATGCAGAGAGGTGCTTAGTAAATATTCTTCATAATAACAATTACTGGGGGGCAGCTAGGTGGTGCAGTGGATAGAGCACTGGCCATGAAGTCAGGAGGACCTGAGTTCAAATAAGGCCTCAGACCAAACACTTGACATGTGCTAGCTGTGTGACCTTGGGCAAGTCACTTAGCCCCAATTGCCTCACTAAAAAAAAACAACAACAACAAATCAGTGACTGGTCTTTGTATCTTCTGTGGAAATAATTTAATTTCTGTTTTGAAGGGATAATTTTATGTCTATAAGTGAATAAAAAACTGTCACTGAAGATTTTCAGGCCATAATTTTAGGAATAATCTCTTTTGCAAGTATCAGAAGATGTTATTAAGAATTATATTGTGAAGCTTGGCCAGAAATTTAATTACTATTCTCTGTGACTCAATTGAAAACTTTCTAAATCCATTCCAACATTAATACTGTGGTCAAAGAACCTTAGGTGTTCCTTTCATTCATTGTACAGTATTGTAGATAATGAAAATTACTTATTCTTCTTCCGAAAACTCATTTTATTAATTGCCTGCCATTTTAAGAAACACATAAGCCTCATCTTGAAGATGATTTTTTGAATATCTATATTGACAACATATAGGCAAAGATGAGTCCTCCTCCCCATGGGCTACTTTGGAGGTAGACAAATATCATTTATGAGAAAATTGCTTTTTTCATGACTTTTAATATAATTTCTTATTGATTTTCTGTCTCATATAGTGTATTTATATAAGAAGAATTAGATTTTGATGGAAGATTTCAGAAGATGATAGCTTGATAAGTGAAGGACAGATTATTATTTTCATGGAAATGATTAAAGAATGTATTAATAAAATAATATGGAAACATTGAGACAGATGGTTGAGAAAAGATGAAATCTGAGAACATAAATGAGAAAAATATGTGAAGATATTTAGACAGTCTCAGTGTACAGCAGCCTAACAGATGACAAAACCTAGGCTCATGGAGGTTATGATAATACCATAGCGTCAGGAGAAGTATTTGAACCCAGGATTCTTCTGACTTCAAGTCCAGAACTGTCTTTGCTATGCTGTAATGAGCAAATGGAAGAAAAACAATACAGAGATTGTATAATTAAATGCTAGTTATGTTGTATCAATTAAGCACAGAAGTGCTGGGGTCACGTGTAATATAGTATTATCCTTTCTAAAATTAGCCCAATGGAGATAAGATATCACCGTCACTTTATCTATCAATGTGGATCTGATCATGATTTGTTTTTTCATGGAAGAATAAATTTTGTTAAATATTGTTACGATTTTGGCAACTTAGAGATGGGGAACTAGGTTTGGAATTTTTGTTCTATAATAAGTCCATTACTTTTCTTTTGACAGTATACCTAAATCAAAGTCATAGGCATCAGGTAGCTCATTGTTAACAGTGAAAGACTCATTCAGTTCTCTTGTTTAAGTTGAAAATAAATTTGGAAAATAGAACATTTCAAAAAACTTCTATTCAACAAAATGAATGTTTCTTTACAAGTTGTATCTGAAGTACAGGTAAGTGTTATGGTTGGTAATGCATTGGATTTGGAGATAAAAGAACTGGGTTCAAGTCTTCTGAACTCCAGATGCAGTACTTTATCCACTGTCTCATTAAATGTTAATTTTCTTGAAAATAAGGCAAGTCATTCAATGTCTATGAACATTAGTTTACTTTTCTGTGAAATGGGAATAATACAACCTTTACTACTAACTTTTCAGTGTTATTATGGAGGCTTAGATGAGATCATAAATGTAAAGCACTTTATAATTGTAAATCATTTACTATGTCAATGTTTGTGAGAAGTTATTGTTTTATGTGCAGCAAAATTGATAAATTTGAAATTTAGTAATATTTTATAGTATAAACAATGAACACAAATCTCAAAGCATAAACCAAAATGCATATATTAATGAGAGCCCATTTTATTCAAGGACAGCTAGGTGGTGCAGTGGACAGAGTGCAGGCCCTGGAGTCAGGAGGACCCGAGTTCAAATACAGCCTCAGACACTTACTGGCTATGGGGCCCTGGGCAAGTCACTTAACCCTGTTTGCCTCAGTTTCCTCATCTGTAAAATGAGCTGGAGAAGGAAATGGCAAACCATTTCAGTATCTTTGCCAAGAAAACACCAAATGAGGTCACGGAAAGTTGGACGTGACTGAAAGGACTCAACAACAACAATTTGACTCAAGCTCTAACTTCAGATTTAGTGTACTTCAGGAAGAAGTTGGAAACTTAAAATCATACTTAGGAAGATCGTGATGGTGTTATACAACCCCTGTAATACCCCAAATTCAACAACAAAGAGCTGGGGAAGTAAGATTTGATGGATCAGCATAAGAGGTTTAATGGAAAGTGATGAGTCTATCCAAATCCATGTAAAAAGAGGAGCAATGTTTTGGTCTAACTGATGTTCCTATAACCTCTTTTAAAAAGGTAGCTCTGAGAGGCAGCTAGGTGGTGCAGTGGATAGAGTACTGGCCCTGAAGTTAGGAGGACCTGAGTTCAAATCCAACCTGAGACCAAACACTTCACACTTACTAGCTGTGTGACCCTGGGCAAGTCACTTAACCCCAATTGCCTAAAATTTAAAAAAAAAAGGTAGCTCTGAGTTTATGAGCACTTTCCTTGAGAACAGAATATTTTTCTCTAAGTTCATATGTGTTTTCCAGAAGACTAGGAATTTTCTAAAATGTCTTCTACCCTGCAATTTAAAATTCTACTGCATTTGCTAACAATGGTGTAGGAAATGGAAATCACCAAATAAATAAAACTTTTTTTTTTCTTAGAAATTACTATCATTTACCCACTCTTTCCAAATAGACACAAATCATGGTGTTTGTACGTGAATATTTTAATTAGAAATTAATTAATTATTATAATTTAATGTGACAAGTTTGGAAGCATATGTGGTTCAGTAAACTAAGAAAAGAACTGGGACCCAGCAGTTGTGAATTTGAGTATGTACTGTTTCACTTTTTTTTTTTTTTTAAATACTGATGGGGAAGAATGTTTTTTACTTTTTGGTTCAATTTATTAATATGTAAAATGGTAGAAAGTGGGAGAAGGTCACAATAAACTACCTCTGATAATATCTTTAAAGCATATGTGAACATAAATTCATAGTAGATGAATAATTTTTAGATGTGTTAATTTATATAAGCTTTCATAGAATTTTTTTTCTTAATAGAGTTTTGGAACAGCACAAACTGACAAAAGAACAGTGGGAAGAAAGAATACAAAACTGGCATGAAGAGCACAGAGGGATGTTAAGGTACTTCAATTTTGAAAATTTGTTTTCCCCAATTTTTAAAGTTTTCCCTAATTTTTAAAGTTTTTTTTGGTTTTATGAAATTTGTCATTGCTTCAGATCTTCAGAAAGTATAATTTGTTTAAATTTTTTAAAATTATATACTAAATTTTAGCAACAAAGTGAATTTTGCATTTTTATCTTGCTACTGTATATTCAATTTGCCCTGAGTAAGTCTGTTATAATTTAGCATTATCTCAACAGGGAAGATTCAATGATGGAATATTTGAAGATTGCACAAGATCTGGAAATGTATGGTGTCAACTATTTTGAAATAAAGAATAAAAAAGGAACTGAATTATGGCTAGGTGTTGATGCTTTGGGTCTGAACATTTATGAACACGATGACAAGTAAGTAAATTGCATGCCAAACTAGTCATGTTTATCATAAGTAGTTATATGTTTCTTTCTCATTTATTTCAAAAATGATTTTGCTAGCTGCTTTAGTTTGATTAAAGTTTAGTTGATGGCTCATTAAAATTTCATTTCACTTCTACTATGTTTTTAACCTATGTTTTCAGATTTGACTTCTTTTCAAAGTATTTATGAAATGTGATTAATTCACTGCCATAAATTGAGCATTTATGTTCATTCATATTACTTTAGGGCAGAGTTGAATATAGTACACGCCCAATAAATGTTCATTGAATTAAATTGGGCAAGTCATTTAAAGCTCTCTAGGATTATATTTTCTCATCTATATGAGGATATAGGCAGCTAGGTAGTAGAGTAGATAGAACAATAAGCTTGGAGTAAGGAAGCAGCATTTTCACTTCGTTATCCTTTCATGAAGTACTAAGCTGTCCTTAATGCAATTAGAAAGCCATTAGCCATTGACTAGCCAAGGATTAGTCTAACCCTATCTTTTTGAAGGGACATACTTTTTAAGGTGTAAAATCAGTCAAGGCATCTTCAAGGACCTTCAGTAACAGAGAAGAAAGAAGAGTTAGACCTGGCAGTCAACTACTGTAGATTCCTCATTTTTTATGAGAAAACCAAGATAGCATGATAGATTTACATAAGATCACATAGCTAAGTAGTGGCATGACTAAGACTAAGTCAAGTTTTAATTTTAATTCCAGTGGTTTTTTTAATACATACACACATATGTAATTTTAAGATGTATTTTTATTGATGACTTTTGTTTTTATATCTGACCTTATGTGTAATGTGTTACACTCATAATTCCTCACCCCTGAAAGGATGAGGAGAAAGGTGCACTTTTTTATCTCTACTTAGGGACCAAGTTTGACCATTATAATTATATTACTTTGAGTTTCATTTTTATTTTCTGTGTTCTTTGTACAATACTTATCTATACATATACATATATATGTATACACACACACATATGTATATATATGTAAACACTATATATAGTGTTTCCTTTCTAATTCTACCAGTAACAGGGAATCACATTTTTATATATATATAAAATACAAACCATCGTGTGTGTGTGTGTGTGTGTGTATGTGTGTGTGTGTGTGTGTGTGTGTGTGTAATTTCAGTTTTTTCATTAAAAATAAATTACATTTAGGTACACATTATGTGGATAGAGAGACCCAGCCTTAGAGCAAGGATGACTTGTGTTCAAGTCCCACTCTGACATATATTGACTATGTGATCTTGGGGTGTTCAAGGAGGACTTGCCACTTCTGGTGTGAGGACTTGCCAAGCTTCTTTTCAGAGCTGCTCATTTACCTTTGGTGTCTACCTGGCACTTAATTCTCATTGTGACTCCAAAAAGCTATAGCATGCCCAGTGGCTACACCTGGTAAACCATTTTTGCAGACAGGCTAAACAAAGTTGAGGGGTAACCAATGGGCCTCAAACCTGTTCATGAATTAGGGGGATGTCTACGCCAAGCATATGAAGACTTCCACCCAGCAGATGTGTGGATGAGAATAATTTGTTCCCATGACCACGAAGGCGACTGAAGTAGACCCTGTGAAGAGTTAGATCTTGGTCAGACATCAGAGATGCCAAGGTCATCCACTGCATCCCAGGCCATCGCCAATCTTGACTTTTGTCTTGCCATTGGACATTGGTGACTCTGGAAGAGAATGAGGTGAATGACTTTTGCAACTCTATCTCACTCAAATTCAATTTACATAGGAATGTGATGTCCTTGGTCTTCAAAAAGGAAGGACAAACAACAATTTGTGATCTTGAGCAAGTCATTTAACATTCTAAGTGCTCTAGACTGCTCTCTAAATCTTTAAATTTCAGAGAAGGTGTTCACCTGCATTGTAGAATGAGTTTACTCATCAGAAAGTTCCTTATACTGGTGAAATCATAGGTCTGTTGCTATTCCAATACTATATCATAATAAAGTTTGAGAGAGAGAGAGAGTAGAACATAATGGTTAGAAAGGTGGTCTTAGAGTCAGGAAGCCCTGGATTCAGGTTTTACTTCTTGACATATATGAGCTTTGTGAACTTCTGCAAATCACTTAACCTTTCAGTATTTTAGGACAGGAGTTTTTTTTTTTTTTAAGGCAATTGGGGTTAAGTGACTTGCCCAGAATCACACAGTAAGTGTCAAGTGTTTGGTCTGAGGCTGGATTTGAACTCAGGTAGACAGGAGTTCTTAACCTTTTTGTGTGTCATGAACCCTTTTGCTAATCTGGCGAAGCCTAAGGGGGCTAGTGTTCCTTCTCAGAATAATGCTTTTAAGTGACTAAAATAGAATATGTTGGATTACAAAGAAAACCAGTTATATTCAAATAAGGATGTATTTTTTTTTACCTATCCAAGTTCATGGACCACCATGAAATCTTATGCACAGATCCCATGAATGTTGGTCAACTCAAGTTAAGAATCCTTTCTCTGTGTAACTCTTTGAGGCCATAAGTTGTGTAGAAAGTGGCAACCTGCACTGATAGAGGGATTTTCCTCATCTGGGAGCTTCTTATACCAGTGAAATCGCAGGTCTAGTCTCTATCCCTATCTTGTAACAGGAGCCATTAAAGAAAATTAACAGTATAGGGCAAAAAGCAATGAATTAGGAGGTAGATGACCTGAGGTCTATTTATGGCTCTGCTACTTATTAGTTGTGTGATCTGGGGTATATCTAACTTCAGAGCATCAATTTCCTTATCCACAGGATAAGCGATAATGCCTTATTCTTTGCTTATTACCTCCTAGAACTGCTGTGTGAAGTTCAAGTGAGATGTTTGTGAAAGTGTTTTGAAGTCTCTAAAATGTTTATGTGACTATCTATAAAGGAATATACTAGGAAATCTGCTTTCTCTAACATCTTTATTAATGTTTAACTCTTAATTACTTTAGTAGCCATTAGATGGCATCATACTTCTTAAAAATTAGGAAACGAATACACTTTTAAAAAATTCCTTGCTGAAGTAGTATGAAATAGACTACATCTTCAATTATTATGTATCTAATTATGCCAATAGAATTATGACATCTAGGTGGCTCAGTGGGTAGAGTGCTGGGCCTGGAGTCAGGAAAACCTCAGTTCAAAGTCTCAGATGCTTACTAGTTGTTATGTGACTCTGAGCAAGTCGCTTAACCTCTGTTTGCCTTCATCCACTGGAGAAGGAAATGGCAAACCACTCCAGTATCCTTGCCAAGAAAACCCCATGGACAGTAGGGTCTATAGGGTCATAAAGAGTCAAACATGACTTAACAGAATTTATTAAAATTCTATTAATTGTTGTTAATGTAGCAAAAAAACTGGATGATGTGATTTGTAAGCCACACTGATAGTCATTTTTGAAAGATCATAGAGAACATGAAAGGTGCCACGGGTTTAGAAAATGGCAAATATTTTCACTTTCAAAAAAGGATGAGTGTTGCTTGGCAACTATATAATGAGCTTGGCTTCCATTCCCGGCGAAATTCTACAACATTATTAAATGAATGGTCAGTAGATGTCTAGAAAGAAGAAACTATCTTCATGGAACAGTGATTACAAAAAGCTAGTATAGCTTTGTACACAACAGGTCACACTAGACTGATCTCATTTCCTTTTTTGACAGTTACTAGCATAGATTAAGTTCTCTTGTCACTTGATAACAGGTTTTAGCAAATCAATGCATGTTATTTTGGTCTTTAGTTCATAGATTCATTCAAGTCATTACTACTAATGTGAAGTACGTTTTCCAAGATTTCACAGAATCAGGCTTCCTTTTATGAATGTGGTACACTTCTAAATATTATAAACTTAATATTATACACCAATACGATGTCTGGTCTGGGTTTTGTTTCTTTCAGTAGGATTGAATTACAATGACATTTATATTCTCTTACCAAGTCACATTTTTGAAGTATTTAAATGAGTAAGATTTAAAAAAAAATAAGGAATTGAACCCAAGTCAAATAAAGGCTAAATGAAAGGAGGAGGGGGACAGGAACCAAGTATTTACTAGACATCTACTATGTGCCAGGACTGTGCCAAACAATTTTTACATATTATCTTAATTGTTCCTTGCAGGAACCCTGAAAGTAGGTTCTTTTATTGTCCCCATTTTACGTTTATGGACACTGAGGCAGAGATTGGCACATAGCCATTAAGTGTCTAAGGCTGAATTTGAACTTCAGTCTTCCTGACTCCAGGCCCAGCGTTCTTTAGTGCTCTTTCTACTACACCACATAGCTAGTAGAGACCTCAGAAGATAATTATCTCTTTGTTACCTTGGAGTACTTTTCTTTAGATGATGTAAGAGATAGTCATTGCTCCCAAGGAGCTCACATTTTAATGGAGGAGACAGCACATAGAGGTGATTTCAGGTACAGGTCACATGGAAAGTTCTCATGGTCCTTGTAGTACAACAGCAAAGCAGATGATAATGCACCTTCTTTAATGTCATTACATTTCATAAAGATAATAGAACTTCAACGGTGCCTTGAAAAAAGAGTAAGATTTCAGTAAGGGGGAATAGAGAAGGTATTTATTCTAGTCAGGAGGGGGTGGTATAAATAAAGTTTGGGATGTTTCAAAGAGTGTCATAAATTTGGAAAATAGTATTCCAGCTTTACTTACTGTGTGTATGTAAAGGCCAGTATTATGAAATTAGTCTGGAAAAGCAATTTGGAGCCAATTGTAGAGAGCCTAAAATGCCAGACTTTACTTGGTAGGCAGGCAGTAAACATTTATTCAGAATTTAATATATGTCAAGCATTGTGCTAAGCACTAAGGAATCAAAAAAGGTGAAAGAAAGTCCCTACCCTAGAGAAACTCACAAGCTAATTGGGGAGACAACATGCAAACAGCTGAGTTCAAAGGAGCTGCATAATCAACAGAGGAAAGGTCCTAGAATTAAGTGCAATTGGGAAAGGCTTCCTGTAGGAGGTAGGGCTTTAGCTGGGACTTGAAAGAAGCCAGCAGGTATAGATAAAGAGAAAAGCATTCCATGCATGAGGGATAGCCAGTGAAAATACCTGGAGTTGGGAGGTGATGTGTCATGTTCAGTGAATAGCAATGAGTTCAGTGTCACTGGATTGAAAAGGGGGATAGAGAGAACAATAAGATATAAGATAGAAAGAAGTATAAGACTGAAGGGGGACGAGGAGTACTAGGTTATAAAGGGCTTTCCGCATCAAACAGATGATTTCGTGTTTGATCCTACTGGTAATAGGGAACCACAAGAGTGTATTGATGGGGGCGAGGTTGGGCATTGGTGGGAATGTGACATGATTGCATCTTTAGGTGCACTTGGGCTTTAGGAAAATCACTTTGGCAACTTAGGGGAGAATGAACTGTAATGGGCTGAAACTTGCAGACCAACCTGCAGGCTATTTCAAGAGTCCAGGCATGAAGTGATGAGGTCCTATGCCAAGGTGGCGGCAGTGTCAGAAGTGAGAAGGAGGCATATGTGAGGTATTACAAAGGTAAAATTGACAGAACTTGGCAACAGATTGAATGTGTCAAGTGGGATTGAAGAGTTGAGGATAACAACTAGTTTTCAAACCTAGGGGGCTGGGAAGATGGTGGTGTCTTTGCCAGTAATTGGGAAATTTGGAAGGGAAGAGGGTTTGTAGGGGTGGGAGACCTGCAGCCTTGAGTCCACATGTGGCCTGGTAGGTCCTCAAGTGCAGCCCTTTGACTGAATCCAAACTTCACAGAACAAATCCCCTTCATAAAAGGATTTGTTCTGTAAAACTTGGACTCAGTCAAAAGGCCACATTCAAGGACCTAGAAGGCCACATGTGGCCTCAAGGCTGCAAGTTTCCCACCTCTGGGGAAAGATAATGAGTTCAGTTTTGTTTATGTTGAGTTTAAGATATCTTGTCCTCATGTGAGTTTGGAGGTCAGCAGAGAGATTAAGGATGGACCAATAGATCTGGAGAATAATCATAATAGAGATGATTGAATTCATGGGAGCTGATGTTATCACTGTGTGCAATAGTATATAAGGAGAAGGTAGTCAAAAGACATTAGAGTTTTTAATCAGGAGAATGATAGGATTAGACCCATGCTTCAAGAGAATTAATGAAAGAATTAAGGGGAAGACTGAAAGTAGGGAGTTCAGTTGATCTTTTTGTAATTCAATTTATTTTATTTTTGCCTTTTGTTTATCTCCAAATATATCCCTCTCCCCTTCTCTACCTCAGAGAGCCATTTCTTAAAACAATGAATATTAAAGGAAATATAAAAGAAAAAAAGCAGTTCACTAAAACTAATTAATCCATCAGCTGAGCCTGGTAGTACATAGTACATACAGTGTTTTTCTTCTCCATTGAATGGAAGGAAGTGAATTTCTCAATCTCTTTGGGCCCATGCTAGATTTTTATAATGGCATTCAATTTCTTTTCAGTTTTTGCTCTTTCCATTTAAATTGTTTTGTTTAATGTTATAGCTCTGCTTACTTCATTTTGCATCTTCTTGTATTTTTCTATATTCTTCGTAATCATCATTTCTGACAGACCATTAAAATTTTGTTATATTCATGACTAAACTTTGGCCATTCCCTTATTAGTGGGTGTATGTGTGTGTGTGTGTGTGTGTGTGTGTTTGTGTGTATGTGTGTGTGTATTTTATTTCTAGGTCTTTGCAACTACAGAAATTACTTTATGAACTTAATTACTTTATAAAAATTCAAGATATGTCAGTAGCATGTTAATATGTATTAGTGCCAATTAGAATATCCTAAAAGTTTAGAGCTACAAAGTTTATCCATTCAGGCTGTAATAACTAGTGCAGTTATTTCACCTGCATATGTGCATATTGTTTCACACTTCATATGGGATCAAGTTAAAACTCCTATTCTATTACTTATAAACTTTGATGCCTTGTAAGTCAGCTGATCTCTCTGAGATTCAGTTTCCTCACCTTTAAAAATGGGGAGTAATAGTACTTGTACTGCCTACTTAGTGAGTTAATGTAAGCATGAAATGCTATAATGTATGTAAAGTATTTTGGAAACCTTAAAGCACCAGATAAATGTCAGTTTTTGTAAATGCCCCCTTGATTAAAAGTCTACTTTTCATTTTAAAGGTTGACGCCTAAAATTGGTTTTCCCTGGAGTGAAATCAGAAATATTTCATTTAATGACAAAAAGTTTGTCATAAAACCAATCGACAAGAAGGCACCTGTAAGTAAAAATCCTGTCCCTTCTTATGTATCTTTTATATTTATGGTGAATTGTTTTGTGCCTACTATGTGTAAGTGACTTAGGAAGTGGGGAGAGAGGGGTTATATGTGTAAGATGTAGACAAAAATGGAGCAGACCTAGCCCTTAAGGAGCTTCCATTTTACTTTGAGGATACAATTGGTACATAGATGAGGAAACAGACAATATGACCAAAGTAATACAAAATTCATAATGGAGAGAATGCTACACCTGGGTCCATCAAGAAAGGGCTAGTGGAAGAGATAGCACCTAAGCTATACTCTGTAGAGAGTATAAATCAGAGGAAAGGAGTAGGGTGTGCATTCTGGACTTAAGGGATTACCCTGTTGAAGGGGGTGGAGGTAGGAGATGAAATGTTGTATACCATGAACAGCTTGGAAACCATTTTTATTGGAGCGTAGATCAAATGAAGGAGAGTAATATGAGATAAGACAGGAAAGATAGGAGGAAGTCAGATTGTGAAAGGCTTTAAAAGCCATGCTGAGTAGTTCATATTGCAGACTAAATAAAGCAATCTCAGACATTTACTAGGTGCCTACTGTGTGCCTTAGAGAATTGTGCTAGTATGAGGTCTATAGACAGAAAGGATAGCCCTGTCAGCAACTGTGGGGATCAGGAAAGGTAGTACTTGAACTAAAATTTGAAGGAAATTAGAGATTCTCAGACGTGGGCATGGGATATGGCCAATGTAAAGGCAGAGGGACCACAGACATGGTTATGTGTAAGGAATGCAAAAAGGACAGTTTAACTCGAGTGCATGAAGAAGAATAATATATAATAAAGCTGGAGAGGTAGGTGAGAGTCAGATTATAAAGGGCTTAAAATATTAAATAGAGGAGTATAGTAAGATCTTTGTTTTAGTAATATCATTTTGGCAGCTGTGAAAAAACAAAAGAGTGGATTGGAGAATGGAAGGATGGAAGTAGGAGACCAATTAAGAAGCTATTGCAATAATCCAGATGAAAGGTGATGAAAATCTCAGTTATGATTGAAGCTTTGTGAGTGCACAGATATGAAAGATGTTAAAGGAGGATAAATGAGACTTGGAAATTGATATTGGGGATGGAAGGTGGTGAGAGGGGGAGAGAGAAGTCAAGGATGGTTCCAAAATTGTGGAAATATGTGGTGCCCTCCAAAGTGATATCAAAGAAAAGAGATTCTCATTTATTAAACTTGCACTGGAAAACATTCTGTTTTCATTGTTTAATATTCTCAATGATGAAATCATTTTGCCTTTTAAATTTTATTGAAGGGGCATATAATATAGATTTAAATTTAATTGAGCAATATTTGTTGGAATAAAGTCAAAGTCATGTAAAGAGGCTGTTAGTGGCATTTGAATAATGGTTGACCATAGATCACTTATCTTGAAAACTCAATTTAAAAAATTTTGCGTCTAACTGTTTTGTTGACTACAGTGCAATCCAGGTATTGATCATTCATAATATTTTTATGATAATTTACAGAATTGTAAGTTATAGACTTACTTTTTAGATGTTCATGTAACTTGAAGACTTGAATTTTAAAAATTTACAGACTGGAGTATTGAATTTTTTAAGTGGTAGCACCTATTCTGTTGATGAAGTAGAATGTCATAGCTGAGCATTATCAAGACATAAATATCCATAGAAAAAAAGCAAGGATTCAATATTCTTTGACATTTTGAGTCTGCAGTAGATGTTTTTGTGAATGAGTAACAGTTTAGTCTTTACATTGCTGGGGAAAAGTCCCAAACAATTGGGACCAAGCAGAATTGAGTCTCACAGTTATAATGATCAGGGACTGAGAGTTACTTTTGGAAAATTAGAGGGCAAAACGCAAATGGGACCCAATATGTGGCTCTGGAACATTTAAGGGGAATCACTTGTTATGGGGCGTTTACCATGGGTCCTGTGAGATTTCAGCTAATTTCTTAGTTAACTGTTATGTGACTGTTGAACTCTTATGCTCATGTGTCGACATTTAGTACAAGTTTTTGGTGATAGACTATCCATTCCATGGAAGTTGTTAATTTAAAATAATTTATGTTTAGGATTTTGTTTTCTATGCACCTCGTCTGAGAATCAATAAAAGGATTTTGGCTTTATGCATGGGAAACCATGAGCTCTACATGCGAAGAAGAAAGCCTGATACAATCGAAGTACAACAGATGAAGGCTCAGGCTAGAGAGGAGAAACATCAGAAGCAGTTGGAAAGGTATGAAATTTTTCAGTATTTAATTTTTAATTGATAGTTCAAATTTAAATTTTATAGACCCTTTCATTGTCATTGAAAAGGTTAATGTAGGCATTTGAATGTTCTAGCAGTACCACCAAATTCCCCTTTAAGATAAGATTCCCCTTTAAGATTTGTAATTATAAAGTTTGAAATCTCAACACATAAAGATTGTGAGAGTAGCCTTTTATAATATCACTGGATTGTTTTCCCTCTGCCCTCTTATGCAATCCTTGCTATTCTACTGTTGAATATCTTTTTGGAAGCATTTGATTAAAGATCTTTAGCTTGTTTTACTCATGCTTTCCAGGTAAGAGTTTTTGATAATTTTCTCAGTCTCTTTGTACTATTATAAAAACTCACCAGATAAGTCATAGTATAGAGTTGAACAGCAGTAGCACTTTCTTATAACAATAGTAATTTCCAAATATTGTACATTTGGAATTCCTTAACAGAAGTTGTTAATTATGCTAAATTGAGAGTTTTAAAGTAAATGGTTATTGGTGAAGAAACTCTTCACTAATTCTGAGTTTGCAGACTAGGGTTTGTAGTTAATCTTTGCTAAGGGAAACCCTTTCTTTAAAGTCCCTCATGAGACCCACTAGGTTCAGCATTTTGTCAGTCTTAATTTGAATTAATATATGTATTCAGTGGTAATGAGACTGCATTAAAAAAAGTCTATACACTTTTTTAATTACTTAAATTTCCCTTCCTATCAATGACTCCCAATTATTGAAATTTCACTGAAATACCAAATATCTCTTTATTTGCATAAGGAAAGGCATCAGTTAATTTTGTCACGGCTGACTTGTACTTTGCTTTAGATGGAGAAAAATTATGACCTGATAAGACTTAAACCCTACACTAGTTGACTTTAAGTCATCCAACTTTCATCCAGAATAAGGTCAAGGACCATTTGGAGTATACTTCTGATAGCCTTGAGGGCTCAAAAGTAGGAAGAGAGAGGGCAGGGTATTGATTTTCTATGCTATAGTTTTCTAATACGTGCTTACCCTCCCAAACATACCTCTCTCCATACCCTTATTATACTAGCTGTTGTGTCATGAAACCACTTATTGTGCCTCTGATATGTATGCTATATAGGTAATTTGTTATAGTATGTACATTAAACATAATAGAATCTCAGAATTGCAAGGGCCTCAGATGGCAGAGGCCATCAAATCTAAGCCATTTCTTAACAACCATTCTCTTTAAAACATATTTGACAATTAAGTGTTCTTTTTGCCTTCTTCTGGGACCCACATGGGGTGAGGAGGGGAGGCAGAAACCTTTTAAAATAGCCCTTCTTCTACTTTGGATGACTTATTGTTAGGGAAGCTTTTTTTTCCCTCAGATATCAGTCCTAAATTTGCCTCTTTGTAGCTTCCATCCATTGTTCATAGTTCTGATCTTGAGGACCAAGAAGAACAAATCTAATCCCTCTTCCACATGATAGGTCTTCAAATAACGAAGACAGCTGTTGTGTATCATCTTGAGTCTTCCTCTGACTATCCCTAGTTACTTTAGTGTGATGCCTTTCAACATCCTGGTTGCTCCTCTCTAGATACTCTGACCCCTCTCAGGTCCTTCTTTAAATATGATACACAGAAACTAAAACACTTATTTCAGAGATGGTCTGACCAGGGAAGAGTGCATAGTATTTTCTACTTACCTTACCACCCATTTCTGGAGATTACATAAGCTTTATTGTCTATTATGTTACATTAACTCATAATGAATTTGCAGTCTACTAAACCCTCATATCTTGCATTTTGGTGAGGCAGTTGGGGTTAAATCACTTGCCCAGGACCACACAGCTAGTAAGTGTCAAGTGTCTGAGGCCAGATTTGAACTCAGGTCCTCCTGACTCCATAAACTCTCATATCTTTTTAAGACAAAATAGTACTTAATCACAGTTCCCTTGTTTTGCAAAATTGATTTTTTAGCCCAAATTTTATTCATGTCTTCCATAAATTTTCCCCAGGCAATCCACACTAGGAGCCTTACTATAGGTAATAATAATGATGATGATGATGATAGTAATAATAGCTAAGTAGCATTTATATATAGGAAGCAGCTAGGTGGTACAATGGATAGAGTGCTGGACCTGGAGTCAGGAAGACCTTAGTTCAAATTCATCCTCAGACGCTCACTAGTTGTGTGACCCTGGGCAAGTCACTTAACCTCTGTTTACCTTAATCCACTAGAGAAGGAAATGGTAAACCACTCCAGTATCCTTGCCAAGAAAACCCCATGGACAGTATGGTCTGTAGGGTCATGAAGAATTGGGTATGACTGAACAACTGAATAACAAGAAGCATTTATCTGGCACTTCAAATATGCTAACTTAATTTGACCCTCACAACAACCCAGTGAGGTAGGTGCTACTGTTATCTTCATTAAGTGACTTATACAGTCACATAGTAAGTTTCTGAGGTAGGATTTGAACTCAGGTTTTTTGAACTCCACATTTAATCTCTCTCTGTAGTACCTTAACATCATGTGTAAAATGATTATGCGTGTGGGATTTCTATCAGTTCTCCCTCATTCTTAGCACGTAATTATTGGCCTGGCTTCTTTTATGGTCATGTATTTCTTTGACAGTATTGTTTATACTACTTCTACTCATTCATTGATTTTGTTTTGTTTTTTAACATTTTAATTTAATATTTATTTTTAACAACCTCATTCATTTTTAATATGCTATAGCCTACTAACACCTGCCACACAAACTTACATCTTATTAAATTTGGCTCAATATCTTACACTGTCAAGACTTTGATTCTGCCATCTAGTATGTTAGCTGTCCCTTCCAGCTCTGTGTCTTCTTTAAAAGTTGATCAGTGTGCCATCTATGCCTTTATCCAGGTCAGTAACAAAAGTGCTCAACAGCATAGTGCCACGCACAGATCCCTGGGCCTCTCAACTAGAGACTTAAAAAAAACACAAACAAACAAAAAACCCTCCAACTTGTTGATGACAAACCGTTAATGATTACTTTTTAGGTCTGACTGTTCAACTCATTGAAGCTCCATCTAATTGTTCTGTTCTCTAGCCCATATCTCTTGTCATGAATTCCCAAGTAAATGTCTATGGAATTCTCTAGATCCAGTAATTTAATAACTTTTGTCAGAGAAGGAAATATGGACTAACATGATTTGTTTTTAATGAAGCCATGCTGAATCTTTGTGATCACTGCTTCTTTTCTAGATGTTCATTAACCATCAATTTAATAATAGACTAGAATTATGCCAGGATAACAAGTCAGATTCTCTAGCCTATAGTTTGCAGGAGCCCTTCTTTTCTTGTTTTTGAAAATTGGGACACTTGCTATTCTCTAATCTTGTTGTACCTCTCCCATCCCATTCTCTGTGGTTGTTCAGAGATTATTGACAGTGGCTTAGCAATGTCACCTGCTAGTTTTTAGTACCTTAGGATGTAGTAGTTCATCTGGGCCTAGTGATTTGAACTCGTCAAGAGCAACAAGGTGTGATCTTATTCTCTGTCTGTTTTGGGTATGAACTTCCTATTATCCATTTTTGTTCTGTCCTGCCTAGTCTCATTGTCATTTGCATATAGAAAGATAGAAGCGAAGTAAGAATTGTGCTGCTCTTCCTTTTCATTATCTGTGTTATTTGTAATTGTTGGCTTTAATTATCACCTCTATCTAGGTAACTCCCAAATTTATATCTTTATACCTAACTTCTTTCCAAAGTTCTAGTGCCATTTCTACTTCCCCATTGGTTATTTTCACCTGGATGTGACATTGGATGTGACTCAGTTAAACATATCCCAAACTGAACTTACCCATCCTTCCTTTCCATATCCAAACCTAGGATCCCTTCTCTATTTGTAGCATGGAAAAAAAGAAAGACTTGGGCTCCCATCTTGAGGTCCATTATTTCTTGTGTCCTTGTGCAATTCACTTTACCTTTCTGATTTTCAATTTCTCATTTCTAAAATGAATGTGCTTTACTGAATGATCTCTAAGGGACCTTCCAGCTCTAAATGTTTGAAAAATCAATGAAAAAAGGCCTGTGTTGATGTCCCAACATCTTCGCGGTCATTAGATTTAACAAACTCAAAGTCAGTTTTTACTTTGATCATCCTTACCTTACATATACCATCAGCCCTCATATCTTTTTACCTAGGCTGTTGTGATATTTACACTTAACAATGTAAATTTGTTTACTTACAGCTTCTTCTCCATTGCATCCTTTATGTTGCTTGGCCAGTAGGTCAATGTGCTACTAATATACTACTGCAATCCTGTTAATGTACTTGGAAACCTTCAGCCACTTTCACCTCCCTAAAAAATAAAGTATAAATTTTTGATTGCATTAAGGTCCTCCACAGTTTGACTCCAACTTATCTTTCCAGTATTATCTTGTTCTACTTCCCTAAACATATTCTGTTTTAGCCAGATTGGACTTTTCTGTGTCTTTTACCTTTGTCTTGTCATGTCCTATCTCTGTGCATCTATCTACTTGCCCTATCCCCTGTGCCTGGAATGTACTACCTCTCCCTTTCCCTTCCCTATTGCCAATTGCTGATTTTGTTTTAGTGCCCGTCTCTACCCTTCACCTGATCTGCCTTTCCCCTTTGGATGAAAATAATTTTCCTCTCAAATTTCTTAAATCACTTTTTCTGAACTTTTCCTTTGTACTTAGTTCAGTTTCCCTTGCTACCACAGTTATTATGCATATGTATTTCCTCCATTAGCTAATAAAATTCTTGAGTGTTTTCTATATTTTTATTATGTCCACCACTGTATCTAGCACAATGCATTCTATGTAGTTGTCTAATATATAGTAAGGAAACTGAAGACAAAATGCAAGAGAAGTAGAATCATTTAGAAACAAATGGGCACCAATGGATGACTTAAACTATTGTTTTTAATTTTCTTCTGTCTTTTGTGACCTAATTAGAACTCAGGTTGAAATGTTGAAAAACAGCCAGGATTTTGGTGTTAAGAAAGCTTTGGTTTGTTTTGATTCCTAGCAGTTTAGAAGCCTAGTTAGTACTTCTGAGTTTGCCAGTTCTGTCATTGTCAGAAACCTACAAATGCCTAAAATTATTCCTTTTCTTTTAGGCATTAAAACCCTTGTAGTTTACTTTGATACTTTAATACAGTACTAGGATTGTATTCTACTAATCTGTTCAAGACCACGGAATCCTACCTTACCTATGTGTTTCCTGCAAGCCCTTGCTTCTGCTTTTTCTTGTGAATAATTCCAAGTGAAAATTAAATCACAGTGAACATGAAAGTTGTTTGCATGGTCTTATCTTCAAGACTTTAAACTTCTAAATGTGCTGAGTGACTTAAGATTGATGTCACTCCTGTATCATCTCCCCTTTCCATATTCAAAAAAGCATTTATATTATTTCCCCTAGCTTTAAATATAAAGTAGCCTTCTCAGTTTTGTTGTTTTCCATTAACAGCTAAATATTTTTAATTCTAATAATTGATTTAAAATAATGTAGTTGCAACTCTTTTTAAGGGCACAACTAGAAAATGAAAAAAAGAAGAGGGAAATAGCAGAAAAGGAAAAGGAGAGAATAGAGCGAGAAAAGGAAGAGCTGATGGAACGTCTAAGACAAATTGAAGAACAGACGATGAAAGCTCAGAAAGGTAAGTTTCTTTGAAAAAGGCTATAGAATGGTTAATTTAATAGCATTTCTGTAGACCTTACCACTGATTTTTAAAATTAGTTTTGTTTACAATGGTGTCAGTTTTGTCATTTTTTTCAAAGTTAAAGTCTGCTCCAGGAATAATCTGTTTTCCCACTAAATTCAAGATTAAGAGAACATAACTAGAACTCTATATTCAAATCAAATTTCTTCAGTGTATAGCAGGAGGCATGCTCTATTTTAAAATATGTGTTTACAACAAATAAATTCATGTACTTTATAAAGGAAATGCCAGTGAAATCTCGAGTGCACATATACATTTCCATGAGGTTGCATGAAGTTGCCAGGTCCCTCAGTTGCTGGTAGTCAGAAGCAGGCCTTGAACCATCATCTTCCTAACTCCAAGAATGACTTTCCCCAGAGTATGCAAGTCCAGATCTTTCCTACATGCCCGCTCCCCCCAAAAAAACCCCACCACCTATGGTCACATACCTTAATGAATTGTATATGCAAAAAGCATTGTAGAGGGCTAAGGAACCAACTGGGAAAAGGGACATGTTTATTTCTAAGCAATGGTACCTAAGAAGATGAAATAATTTATTATATTTGTTTCTATAATTTCTTATAGTTTTTCAAAGCAGTTCCCTATGTATTATTTTATTCTTTACAACAATGCTGTGAGTTAGAGAGAATGTTATTATCCTCATTTTCCAGATTAGCAGACTGAGTTACATGGAAGTTAAATGATTTGTCTGAGGTTACATGGCTAGTTAACTGATAGAACAGGAACTAGAACTCAATTTTCTGATTCTGATGACATTGCCTCTCTGCTGTAACCATATTTCAGTGTAACATAAAATATTATTAATATAGTTTAATGTTTAAAAATATATTATTGTAGTTTTTGGATTTTGTAGTGTCACTCAATTTTTGAGTGGTTCATTTTGTTGTTATTTCATGAGTGAGAGCTATACAGTAATCAGTTCTAGGTGGAGACAAGTTGTAAAGTACCCTGTATTGCAATATATAACCAATGATGAGCTTCGATGAAAGCAAGAGTAAGAGGTGTCATTAGGAAAATGTATGATGAGAAGACAAGAGGAGTTGATCATGTAATGGAGGGTGAGGGATGCCAGGTGGAGAATCCAAGTGCTTCACTGGCATAATTAGGATAATGGGAGAAAGCAGGAAAGGTCTCCAGCCCATTGGATGGGCAATGTTTATGATACATTTATGGGAGGACAGGAATCACATAGGAAGAGTGGGTATGCATGGGTTGCAGTCTTTATTCTAAATTAATTAGATCATAGATCCATTTAAATATATAATGATACAATAGTTAACATTTACATTGCACTTTAAGGTGTTTGCACAGTGCTTGACATTATTTCATTTGATGACAATCCTGTGCAGTAAATGCTGTTGTCCCCATTCTACAGATGAAAAAACTGAGATTGTAGGAGGTTAAGTGGCTTGTCCAGGGTCACTAGCTAGTATGTGTCTGAGAAAGGCTTTGAACTCGGATCTCCTTGACTGCTATCCCATCATTCTATCTGTTCTGCCACTTAGTTGCTGAATATTAAGCAGCATAATATGTGGAGGCTTTCAAGTAGTGAAGTTGAAAGTTACTGAAGGGAAGGAGGAAGTATCAGGAAAAATTTCTTGGAGGATGGTATTTGAATTGAGTTGCAAAGAATGAGTAGAAATTCATTATACACATATGATGAGGAAGGTATTTCAGAAATGAGGTACAGACTGGGCAAAGGCATAGTGACATGAGAATGCAGTGGCTTTTCTGTTGAAAAGAGTTAATCAGTTTAGCTGCTATATAATGTTTGTGAAGGTAAGTGATATAAGTCTGGAAAAATAGGATAGTGCTAGATCATGGAGAACCTTCAATACCCAACAAGCATTTTAATTTCACTCCAAAGACAGTAGGGAGCTACTGAAAATATTTGAGAAGAGGACCAGAGATATAAATAAGGAAAATTATTCTGGCAGCATTATGAAATTAGGAACATCTGTAAGGATCATATTTCAATCAATATTCTAGGTGGGTGAAAATTAGTACATGAAGCAGGGTTATTGTGATAGTGCCAAAGAAGGGAAGCAAACATGTATGTTAGATGTTGTGGGAGGTAGAAGAGCAGAAATTGAATGTGAGAAGTAAGGAAGGTCAAGGGAAGGAGCATTTATATAGCACCTACTATGTGCTTAAACACTTTATGATATATGATTCTCACAGCAGCCCTGGGATGCAGGTGCTGTTATCCTTATTTTACAGTTGTACAATTAAATGGATATGAAAGTGATTGGCTATACCCAAAGAGTAATTGTTAGTTGCTTGATGGTAACTTTGAAGAAGGAAGGTGTCTAGTTGAATGTTCCAGGGATCTTTCCTTGTCTTTATTCTAAAATGTTTTATCACTTAATTGGAAAAAGACACTGATGACATACTTACCACATTTGCAAATTAGAAAAAGCTAGGAGGGGGCAGTTAGGTGGCGCAGTGGATAGAGCACCAGCCTGAAGTCAGGAGGACCTGAGTTCAAATCCGGCCTCAGACCAAACACTTGACACGTACTAGCTATGTGACCTTGGGCAAGTCACTTAACCCCAATGGCCTCACTAAAAAAAAAAATTAAAGAAAAAGCTAGGAGGAATTCTTAATATGTTGGATAACCTTTATATAGCATTTTGAGGTTTGCAAAATGCTTTATATATGTTATCTCATTTGATTGAATGATAGGATTTGGATCTAAAAAGATCTAAACAGGCTAGAACTTTGGTCCAAATCTAGTATGATTAATTTTAAAAGAAATAAATTTAATTTTCCTCTTGGGTTCAACTTTACAAATATAAGGAGAATGATTGTCTATGCAGCTATTAGTCTGAAAAAGATCTAACAACTTCAGTGGCATGCAAACTCAATGATAGTTGACATTGTGATGTGGCATCTAAAAAATGTAATGCATTCTCAGGCTTCATTGACAGAGATAGTGTCTAGAGCTTAGGAAGTGATAGTCCTGTTGTACTTTGACCTGGTTACATCAAATCTGGAATTTAGTCCTCAGTACTGCCACATTTTAGAAAGAAGATGGGTGATAGGCCTTGATTGAAGAACCAGGAGATGTTTTTATTTGGAAAAGAAAAGATGAGGCAAAGTAGCATTAAGCTGTCTTCAAGTATTTAGTGGGCCAAAAGGATGAAAATAGAATTAAAGATGTTTTGGTTGGAAAAAACCTCTCTCCCCAAGTACAGAAGTATGCTCAATGATTAGAAATTGCAACTAGGAAGATTTAGGTTTGTTGTAAGGAAAAATTTCTTAATGTTTGGAGCTATTTAAAAGTATAGATTGTTGTCTCAGAGCATACTGCTTTTTGTCAACCCAGTGGCCTTTTCTTAACCCTCATCCTTCTTGACCTTTCTGCAGTATTTTTCACTATTGACCATTCCTTCTTCCTATTTTCCCTGGTACTGCTCTTTCCTGATTCACTGTCTACATCTTTGGTCACTCTTCGGTCTTTGCTGAATCATCATCCTTGACCCACGTTTTCGAGGTCACTTTGTGTTGGGGCCTCTTATGCTATATTTTCTTATGGGAGCTGATCAGCTTCAATAGGTTCAATAATCATCTCTATGCAGATGACTCAAATGTACATAATTAGTTGCAATCTCTTTCCTGAGCAGTAGTCACATTATAAACTGCTTGTTGGATGTTTCATAGGTATCTAAAACTTACCATTTCCAAGATGGAACTCATTTTCTCTAAAAAACAAACAATAACAAACCTGTCTCCCTTTCTAATTTCCCTACTGCTATCAAGGGTATCCCCATTCCTCTAGTCACCCAATCTTGTTGATTTTGTTTCAGCAACTTACCTCATATCTGCCCATTTCTCTCTATTTAGCTAGCTATAACCCTAGTTCAGGCCCTTAGTGTCTTTCATCTCAACTACTACCTCTTAATTGTCCTTCATGTCTTAAGTCTTTCCTCTTTCCAGTTCCATGAAGAGATATATGTTCCTCCTTACTGAAAGTTTTCATTCAGAGGTGACCATCTATCAAATGTGCCATAGCAGGGATACTTTTTTAAAATATTCTTTGTACTTGGTGGCTGCTGAGGTCCCTTCTAATTAAAATTGTGTGATTCATAAGTCTAAATTGATTGGGATCAATCATGATCTAGAATTATGGAAGGGAAAAGATATAGGAGAGTTTTCACACAAAAAATCTACGTTATATGGGAGAATGATTGAGAGATTTGATTTGGGAATCTATAGTGCATCTTCTCTAAAATGCATACAATTCCAAATTAACAGGGAGAAGTCCAAAATTCCAATTAAGTTGTGATATATATATAAAGCCTTTCACAGTCTGGCCCCAGCTTAACTTTTCAACCTTAATATATATTTTTCCTCTTCTCACCATCTGTGGTACAACCACACGGGAGTTTATATAGTATTTGATTCCAGAGGTGATAAAGAGACATTGGAATTTATTGAATAAGAAGAATGACATGGTCACACCTGCACTATAGATCTTTTAGAAGCTATTCCAATGGTCCAAGCAGGTAATAATGAGGTTGTCAAATAAGGCAATAGCAGTGAGAAGAGAGTGAAAATGTAAGAGATGTTGCATAGATGGAAATAACAGTAATAATAATTAATTACATATATGTTTTGTTTTGTTTTGTATTTTGCTAGGCAATGAGGTTAAGTGACTTACCCAGAGTCACACAGCTAGTGAGTGTTAAGTGTCTGAGGCCGAATTTGAACTCAGGTCCTTCTGACTCCAGGGCCGGTGCTCTATCCACTGCGCCACCTACCTGCCCCAACATACGTGTTTTAACATGGCATATATTCTCTTAATCAAATCACAGGTCTTGGTAATCAGAAATAATATCAAAGAAAAAAGTTAAAGATATCTCCAAGGTTGTGAATAAAGGAGACTAAATCAATAAAATGTATAAGACAAACAGTAAAGTCAAAAGGCAGAAGAGAAGGAAAAGGTTAGAACTTTTATTTTAGATGTTTCCTTTTGAGGGCTTATGGAGCATTTAGTATATTTCCTGCACAACCATTGGGGATGTTGATTTAGGGTATGGATTGGAGTGGGGGTGGGGAAGGTCACCTTCACAGAGGCTCACCTGTTGTTGTAGTTGAAGTAGTAGGAGTGAATGAGATTTTAAGGGAAAGTATGCATAAAGAAAAATATGACAAAAGACAGGCCCTTCAAGAATATCTCCTTGTATGAGGATCAAGAAGATGAGAATCCAGTGAGAGAGATAGGAATAATGTTTAGAGAATTAAGAGGAGAATCAGAATTTTTAAAGTCAAAGGAATAATGTTTAGAGAATTAAGAGGAGAATCAGAATTTTTAAAGTCGAAGGAAGAGAGAGAATCTAGGAGAAGGGAGTAGTAAATGGTGTCACATGTTTCAAGAAGGTTAAGGAAGATTTTTACTAGTTCTTCTATAGTGGATCAAGGAAGGTTTTATGGAAGGTTTCATATGAGTGGGAATTTAAAGGATGGTTGGGAATTAAATAGGTAAAGAAGGAGAAAAGGGGCATTCTCATGCACATAAAACAATGTCAAAGGCAAAGGAGCAAGAAAGCATTGTATGTATTCAGGAGATGGAGAAATCCAGTTTGGCAAAAGAACTAATATGAAATAAGGCTGAAAGGTACATTAGTGCCATACTGTGGGGAGCTTTGAATAGCAGACTAGGGGATTTGAATTTTACCCAGGAGGCAAAAGAGCACTGAAGATTTGGGGAGCAATGATATGATTAGATGATAGATCTATGTGTAAGAGAGATTATTCTGGCAGCAGTATTGAGTATGGATCAAAAGGGAGAGGCTATTCATATGGATAGATCTTTTAGGAAATCACTTTTGTACCTCTGTGGAAGATGGACTAGAGAAGGTAGAGACTTGAGACAGATGATGAATTAGGTTGTTACAGTAGTTTAGGCAGGAGATTATGGTGACCTGAACAAAGGTGATAATAATGTGAATAGAGAGAAAGGGATGGATGTGAGACAATTATGGAAGTTGTAATGAGATTTGGCAATGAATTTGGTATGTGGAGTGACTGAAAGTGAAGAGTCATGAATAACACCAAGATCACAAATCTGAGTGACTGGAAGGGATAGTCTTGCCCTTGACACACATAGAGAAGCTCATACAAGGATGGATTTTGGGGGAAAGATAAGTTCTGTTTTGAGTCTGAGATGCTTCTAGTTTGAAATAATGAAGGCAGTTGGAAATGCAAGACTAGAACTCAGAAAAGAAAAACCCAGAAGTATCTGTGTCATTTGAAAAAAAATGATAATTAAAACTAAGGAACTGATGAGTTCATCAATCAATGTAGATTTTATTAAGCACCTACTATGTGCCAGGCACTCTGGATACAAGTACAAAAGAATGAAAAAATCCCTAATCACAAGGAGCTCACATTCTAATGGGGGAGACAAGCACATATTAAAATGTTCTTATTAAATGAAAATGTATACAAAGTAGTCAAATACAAGGTGGTTTGGGAGAAAAGGGACCATTTAGATTAGATATGTGGGAATCCAAGATTAATACTGAGGTTCCAAACCTGAGGCAGAATAAAGGAAAGTAGGAAAGAGGGAATTGGTTTTGTACATGTTGAATTTAAGATGTTTCTGGGAACATCCATGTGCCATAGGCAGTTAGTTGGTGATGTAGGACTACGGTACAGAAGAGAGCCTCAGACTAGTGATAGGTCAACCCATAGGAGCTTGATTAGTTTACCAATAGAATAGGAACAGAGGAATGAAGGCCCCAGGACCAAATATTGGGAAAACACTCACTTTTAGGGGTTGTGATATTGGTAATGAGCTAGCAAAAAAAATGGTGAATGAGGAGAGAAGTGTGTCATGAAAACCCAGAGAAGAGAGAGAATCGAGGAGAAGATACTTAACAGTTTCAAATGTAGAAGATAGGTCGAGAAAGACCAGAACTGAGAAAAGACCATCAGATGTGGCAAGTAAGAGATAATTGGTAACATTGGGGAGACCAGCTTTATTTGAGTAATGACCTTAGAAACCAGTTTACAAAGGGTTGAGTAGAGGAAGTAGAGGCAACAAGTGTAGCCAATTTTTTTTCTTTTCAAGGAATTTGGCAAGAGAAGAGAGAGATGATAGAGTCCACTAAAGGTGTTTTAAAAAGGTGGGAGACTTGGACATCTTTGAAAGTAAGGAAGGAACTGGTTAGTAGGGAGATTAGAGAAAGGGAAGATGATTGAGGTTGCAATCTGCTGAAGTTAGGAGGGGAAAGGATCAAGTATACAGGTAGAAGAGTTAACCTTGGCAAGGAGAAAGGTTTTCTCTATGTGGGCGACAGGGAAGGGAGGAGAAAAGAATAGGAGATGATGATATCAAGGGATTTTGAGATGAAGAGAATACAAAGAGAAGGAGCTCCCCTCATATGGCCTTAGAGTATATGAAAAGAAAATATAAAGAGGCCCAGAACAGAGCCTTGGGGTAAACCAACAATTATACAGAATTTAGTTACTGGTAATAAGCAATTAACTCTCTAACAATTTCTATTTCAGTATTTAAGTGAGAATCAGAACATTTGTTTTAATTTTTCCAAGAATTTTGATGCAATCATTTCTTCTTAGCTCTCTCATCTTCTTATCCACTAAAACTTCTCAGAGTTTAAATTATTTTGTGTCTGAAAAAAAAAATGATAGATGTAACTGTAGAAAGCCATGAATCCTTTTGATTTTTTACTTAGCCTTCTTGCTTTAATACTCTTAGGTTCACCAACGACTCCCCTCCCCCCCTTCCACTTGCCTCCTATTTAGAAATAGACAAGAGGGAAAGGGAAGAGAAGGGAGCAAGCATTTATTTAGTACCTATTATGTGCGAGGCACTTTACAAATGTGCTCTCATTTGATCCTCACAACACTTGTGGGAGGTAGGTGCTATTATTATCCTTATTTTTCAGTTGAAGAAAATGAGGCAGACATTAAATGACTAGGGTGACACAGCTAGTGAGTGAATGCCTGAGGTTGAATTTGAACTCAGGTCTTCCTGACTCCAGGCCCAGCATTCCCTCTTTTGAGCTATCCCCCTGCCTCTAAAATGTAGTACCTAGCACTAAAAAACTACTTGTCAGTGGGGAAGGTTGCTATACCACATGGGCAATCATAATAGCCAGCATTAGATAGCTCCTAAAAGTTTGCAAATGCTTTATAAACACTATCTTGTTTTATCCTCCTAATAGCCCTGGGAGGCTAGGTACTAATTAATATACCCCCACTTTACAGATAAGAAAATTGAGGCAGATAGGTTATATGATTTAGCTAGTATCACACAGCAATTAAGTATCTCAGGTTGGATTTCAATTCACATCTTCCTAACTCTAGGTCCAACACTCTATTCACCGTGCCACCTAGTTGTCTTCAGCAACAATGGAAAGGATAAAAATAATAGTTAACATTTAAATAGCACTTAAGTTTGCAAAGTGCTTTATTTTTGTTATCTCAGTTGTTATTCAAAACAATACTATGAGGTAAATTTTCTCCATTTTACTTAGAGGAAACTGAGTCTCAGATTAAATGACTAGTCAGAGTCACACAACTACTAAGTGTGTGAAAAGAGATTTAAACCTAGGTCACCCTGATTCCAAATCCAGCACTGTATCTACTATGTCACTGTGTCTCAGGATCTCATTTTTGTGTGTGAATCATAATACCCTGTAAGAAGTATCATTTATAGATATTACAAAAAGATCAGGTGCTTATTAGAACAGAATTCAGAGTCTTTAAAATAGCATTTTTAATCAGACTAGCAAAGACAGTAAAGAGGAAATTAAAGTTTATAGCCAGAGTACCTGAAGGTGGAAACTCTGATTTAAAAAAAAAAAAAGATGTTGGCTCACTTCCTAAAGGAATAGAAGAAACTAATTCAATGCAACATTTTAAATTAACTCTTTTCATGTTAGAAATGCTATGTAGTCAGCAAATACTATTTTTGAATTAATAATTTTTCAATTTATGTTCTGATAGTTTTTATTCAAGTAATGTTACTTTTGAATTTTAGAACACATAGTGTTAATATTTCTGATAAAGAACTTACACTAAACAAAATATTAAAATGGAAAGGATGTTTCTGGCAATTATTATTAGGAGCATATATATTTTCAGTTTTCTGATTTGAATTGAAAAGGATCTTAATTTACTCTTTTTTAAGCAAGGAGAGCTTGTGTTAAATTAAAAACATATACATTCAGAGAGAATTGTTGTCTTGGTGACCTTTATGATAAATCTCGTCATCTGTAATCCAGCTTACAGTTTGGGATTTTTCTCTTAACTGGAGTGATTTGTACTCCACTAATTTCACTAATATTTATTTGATAGAACTAGAAGAACAGACTAGAAGAGCCCTAGAATTGGACCAGGAACGAAAGCGAGCAAAAGAGGAAGCAGAACGGCTGGAGAAGGAGCGTCGAGCTGCGGAGGAAGCCAAGGCTGCTCTAGCCAAGCAGGCAGCTGACCAGATGAAAAATCAAGAGCAGCTAGTGAGAAAATTGATATTGGTTTTACTTTATTGAGTAAAGTAAAACATTTTTACTGTTGAATGGAAAGCAAAAAAAAAACCAAAACACTCTACCACCTCATGTTCAGTTATCCTTGTGTGAACTGGTAAAAGAGCAGCTAGGTGGTACATGGATAGAGCTCCAGGCCTGAAGTCAGGAAGATTCATTTTCCTGAGTTCACATCTGGCCTCTGATACTTACTAGCTGTGTGACCCTGGTCAAGTCACTTCACCCTGTTTGCTTCAGTTTCTTATCTGTAAAATGAGCTGAAGAAGGAAATGGCAAAACACGTCATATCTTTGCCCAAGAAAACCCCAAATGGGGTCATACAGAGTCAGACGTGACTGAACAAGAACAAATTGTGAAAAAAGATTGAATTTAAAACGTATATAAACAGAAAAAAATAGTAAAAAATCTTAATTCTGACTAAATTAAACTTTTGTGAGATTATGTATTGGTCCTAGCTTGTCTGCTGGTGGAGTCTGAGGGCTTTAGAAATTATTTGTATGGGTCCCTGATTACCAAACCGTTTTGATAATCAGACGGATTAAAAGAACCTCTAGTGGTGTGTTCTTGATAGAAGAAATAGCTCTTCATCATGCAGTTTAACTGTCTGTTTCTTTTGTGAACCATGCCTCTAAAATTTACCTTTGATATTTTGATGAAACTTGCTTTATTGGAAATATTTATATCTCCCAAGATCTATCACTCAAAACACCTGTGTCCATGAAAGACAGTTTCATTTGTTGTTTTATAAGAATTTCTTGAGATGAAGGCTGAAATTTATTTTAAATGGAAAAAAATTTTGAGTAAAGCAGATAGTAAGCTGACTGCTTCATTTAAAGTATACTCTAAAGATTTATCAGGTGTTTTAAAATGATGATGGGTATCAGAATAATAATAGATCACATTTTCCTGGTGCTTTTTTGTTTGCAAACCACTTTCCTCAACACTCCCATCTCAGGAAATACTGAGTTCCTATTTTGAATGATGGAAGACTACCAAGATAAAGTTTATATAAATAGTTTATTTGCAGTATATGAAAGGTTTTGTTGATCTACTTGATTAAGTGATTGGGAATATATTGTAGGGTTTGTTTGTTTTTTTTTTAGTATTGTTTAATTATGAACTTTATTTTAGGCAGCAGAACTTGCAGAATTCACTGCCAAGATAGCACTTCTAGAAGAAGCCAAGAAGAAAAAAGAAGAGGAAGCTTCAGAATGGCAACACAAAGTAATAATGACTTCTTACGTGTTCTACTTTTACATGACAAAGTAATTAAAAATGCATCTATATTTAGGAATCCTCTAACTTTCATGGCAAAATAAATTCACATCACCAAAAACAATTTCCTTTTATTCATTCATATTGTTTCTAATGTAGCTGCTTGAATTTCATTTGCAGTTTTTAAAATCAAACTATATATATAGATTTACAGAAAGAATATAGCTCTATTAACCTGTTAATACAATTTGCCATAGTACTTGGTTTGATGGAATTTTACATTAGATGTATTTTACAAGTTTCATGAGGTTCAGGGATATTTAAACTTGTTTCTAATGTTCAGGCTTTTGCAGCCCAAGAAGACTTGGAGAAGACCAAAGAAGAACTGAAAACTGTAATGTCTGCCCCTCCCCCACCTCCTCCACCACCAGTTATTCCTCCAACAGAGAATGAACATGATGAACATGATGAGAATAATGCTGAAGCTAGTGCCGAACTGTCTAATGATGGTGTTATGAATCATAGAAGTGAGGAAGAGCGTGTTACAGAAACACAGAAAAATGAACGTGTGAAGAAGCAGTTACAGGTATTAAATTAGTATGTTAAAATTAGAGCTTAAGTTGTATATATGCCATTTATTTTCTTAAGACTAACATTTTCAGAAATTTATAGACTTTTTGCCTTTTTTTTTTTTAACATTGGCTAGCATGGTGAATAGTTACTGGCTACTTGATTCTATATTGGCCAATTTAATATACAGATTTAGGATTGATTGGTATATAATATTAGTAGATACTAATATAACAGACTGGCACTTTTTTATCTAGTGTTCACACAGGAAATATTTAAGTATTGCTTACTCTTTGAAAAATTTGACAATATCTAAATATTATTTTAAAATTATTTAGTCTCCATTTCAGATAGTAACAGAATAATAGAGAGACTAGTGTGGGAATTTTTTAACATAATTACTTTCAAAATATTACATGATCTAAAAGCCTTTTGAATAGATTTTTTTTTAATTAAAGGAAATGACAGTTCTTTTTCTCTTTCCATTTAACACCAGATATATTAAGTACCTGCTATATTAGGTGTCAGCTAGGTGCTGGGGAGATCCCAGGTTTAGATGATCCTAGCCTTCCTGGAGTTTCCATTTTAATAGGGAGATGTCTCATAATAACTAGGATCAAAACTTAAAATGTGAGTACTGCTAGTCATTGTACTTCTTCAGACTCTCTACTTTCAGTTATTTTATTTTTTTCTGACTTTTAGTACTAGTGAGAAGAGATTAAGCTATTTGTGAAAAAGAGAAACTAAAATAGAATCGGATCTAGGTAGTAACAATTTCAAAAGTCTCAATAGGTGAAACAAAACTACTTTAGTAAAAATGTTTTTCTGCTACAGATTTTATGTCTTGGAATAACTTTGCTTCATAACTACTACCATAAGGAACAAAATGGAAAACCTTTATGCAAAAAGATTTAGGATTTGGGATGAAGACAGCAGGCAAATTTAGACTTATATGCAGCACTACCATATTATTACCTAAACAGATTGAGAAACCTGATTTTACCTGCTCTCTCATTGACTTTCATATTTCACTGAACGTTTGCCAGTAAGGTCAGACTCGATGTAGAAAGGACCATACATAGGATTTATGAAATAGTTTTTTTCCTCACAAACAAGGCCTTTAAGACAGGAGAAGGGGATTATACAATTAGTAAAATGATTTAAAATCTCAGAACTTACCCTAAAATTTTCTTTCAGGTGAAAAGCCAAAGATTTGCTGTTCATATTATTTTAAGACATCAAGAAGCAGTAAGTTTTGTTAATAAATTAAGTAAATATGCATCTTTTTTTAATATAGGCATTAAGTTCAGAATTAGCCCAAGCCAGAGATGAAACAAAGAAAACACAAAACGATGTACTTCATGCTGAGAATGTTAAAGCAGGCCGTGACAAGTACAAGACCCTGCGGCAGATTCGACAAGGCAATACAAAACAACGTATTGATGAATTTGAAGCAATGTGAGAGCTGTTATTTTTGCATATATGTTCTTCATAAGCTGAACCACCAACAGAGAAAAGCAGGCCTTTGCAGATTTGATGGATTGCATCCCACCTTGCCAAAGTGCTTATACCAGTTTGACTGTGGTGGTTAAAAAGACAAATTTAAGGGAAGCTATTCAACATTAAGGCAGTATGACATTATGCTTGATATTTGTTTTCTTTTCTCTTTCTTTTTGGCTGAGGAATGAGGAAGCATGTTCTATCACCTGTCACATTTTCCATGTTCATTGTTTTTCCATTTGAAGATTAACACTAACAATAATGACTGACAGATGTGTGTTTGATCTTAGCACTTTGAGAATTTAAAAAGATTCTGGCAATGGGGACTTATGAATGTTTAGGTAGGATCCTCCATTTTCCCCTCTCCCCTTTTACATTACTCTCGGATATATTTCAGCATCCCTTCACTCATTCACCTACCCACACTTTTCTTTTGATGCCCGTTACACCTCTTGCCATACACATATCCAGAGTTCTGCCTTTATACAAATCATTGACCTTCAATCTTTTATGAATGAGGGCAGGTAGCAAAGTGGGGCACCTTGGCCTAACATATAAAGAATGCAAAAAAGTCTTATAAAAGACCATATCTGAGTGGTGTGGTGTGCAGCTGTTTATTTTTTAAACAATTCCACTTTATTCACATAATTAAAAACTAGATATGCTTATTTTTTACTAAGTTCTTCTTTCTTACATAAATGCTTTGGTGTTTAATCTCCTGTCATCCTTTGGCCTTCCATGCCTTCTAGTTCACAAAAGTCTAGACAGCAGGCAGTAGTACTAAAAGAGAACTTATGAATGGAACACTACCTGCAAATAATGGACTACCGAAAGGCTTGAATAATATTGTTCTTCAGATATGCCTTACTAAAAAAAAGTGTATATTTTACTGATAATTTATTTGTATTGACAAAAACTTGGACCTTTCTGGCAATGGAGCATATGAAAACATCAATCCCAAAGAAGGGGGCAGTAGTATACTACCTCATAACTATATACATGATGACTAGTCTTTCAAACACCATATAAAGTTAAGCATGGAAGCTGTAAGTTTAATAATTCATAGTGATTCTTTTAGATCACAGAAGAGGCTTCCTCAGAAAAAGATTTCCTTTTTCTTTGGGAGATTTTGTACTGTTCATTGTTTAACTGCCTTTTTGTTGAGTTAAATTGTAAAAGTTTATGATTTGTATTACAATTGTAAGCTCTCACTGGTATACTCTTAGTGGAGGGGTGTTGCATGTTTGGGAAGGGAGTATGTGTGTGTGTGTGTGTGTGTGTGTGTGTGTGTGTGTGAGTGAGAGAGAGAGAGAGAGAGAGAGAGAGTATGAGAAATAGGGAGTGACTGGCGGGGAAATGCTGCCCTTACCTTAGATGAAGAAAATTTATAGTTCAACTTCTTGGCACAATTATTTCATGATCATTTAGGCATACTTAGTATCTGAATCATTTTGCTTGTTTTTCTAAGTCTGTTAATGAGGAGACAACATTTGAATTGTTAATCATGTTTTTGTGTGTTACGCTTAGTTTATATTAATTTCAAATATGTCCTTCTTAAGTAATCTTAAAAACTAATATGGTCTAAATTGTTTTTCTTCATTGTAAAGTGCCCATATTTGGAGTTAAGGAGGGAAAAAAGCCTTATTTTCTCTGAGGGTGGTTCAGCTACCTTCCGTTTGGTATTATGTACTCAAACTTACATTTATCTATTAATATTGCCATTTTATTAAACATTTTTCCATGCACAGTAAGTTCAACTTATATCTGAAAAAGTTCTCTTGTGCTTTCTTTTTTTAATTTATGCTGACTTCAAAAAGGAATAATTTGGGCAGACATAATGATAAGGAAAAGTTGTATTTAATATATTTCAGCTTTGTGGGATTAAAGGTAGCTGGTTAACTTTGACATGACTGGTGTGCAAACATGGTGCACATGCTTTTAAACTTTGCTTTGTAGAAGAGAGTGTTCCTTCCTACAGTGTGACCTGAAGTACTTCAAAGGGACCTTGATAGATCCCAAGTTTGGTGCACTGAAGCATAAGCATTCATTCCAATTTCCCAAAGTTTTGCCATAGCAGGTAAAATATTGTGCCTCCAGTGGATTCTGGGTTTGTTCCCCTTTGAAATAAATGCACCAACATTGATGTGTCAGCTTAATATCAGTGTTGAAAAATTACTGGTTATAGTTGCTGTTCACAATCTATAATATATAGATTTGAATTAAAATGGATGGATTTAATCCATTTATAAAGCCGTCTGAATTTTTCTAATGCAGGAACAACCATTTATAATTTGGGTTTTCATAATGATCAAAGCAGTGTAGCTTCTTACTCACCATTGGGAGTACATGCTCATGCAGCCATGTTAAGAATACTTAATAATCATTTGATAAAGTGAATTTACATTATGCTTTTTACCCTTAGTGAGAGTTTAGCATCATGATTTTGTGTTGTTCAATTAAGCTACGATTACATCTATTATTTTGGATAACATTCATTGGTTAACAATAAAGAGATTAAAAGTTCATGCCTTTAAGGTTCACTGTTGTTATTTATTACTGAAATCACACCTCTTTTTTGGTTTGGAAGTGAGTCCATTGGCTGCTAGTTGCTAGTTCTCAATAGATGAATCCAATTATCAGATTGAATTGGCTCTTTTGAGAACTAACACTAATTTGGCTATATAAATATTTCCAGCCGTTGTTTTCATTTAGGCCCTTGTTACGGAACGTTGGTTTCATTGTCATTGACTCATTTCATTTATTAAAGTACAAAAATGTTCATTACTGTACTGTCTTTAATTCTTTTTATAGAGGTATGTATTTTTAAAGTAGCATTGCATTTATGGGTCAGGCTTAAAGCCTGAACCCTGATGACTGATGTTTTTCATCTTTCTTACTAATCTGGGACACATTGTTTCTTCTTAATAAATAAACTGACTTTTAGCGTACCCTAAGAATTATTGTACTCTCCAGATGTCCTCTCAGTTGATAGTTGAATATAATTTCATTTTATTTTTCTTCTGTAGGGTGTAGGCACAGGTCACGTAGATTTGTATAGGAATAGGATTTTTCTTTTGTATTCAACTCTTGAAGAGTGTTTTTCTTACCAGTTGGAATTACTTTTCAAGGATATTAGGCTCAATAGTAACTTGCTTCTGAGTATTATTAGAAAAATATTTTATTTTCTGCTGCAATAGAAATAAAAGTTTTAATCCTTCTTCACCTTCTTATGAGACAAGTCCCCTCTACTATTTGCCCAACTTTGATGACTTTGCAGATTCCAAATTTCTTAGAAATAAAAATAAGGTAAGTTGATATAGAATTTCTTTCATTCCCAAAGCTTTTCATATGCAGGATAAAATTAAAGAATTTTTAAAAGACCAACAGGTAAGCAACTGAAATGATCTCTTGCTTACTAACTTTGGCATGCATTTTCTGGTCCTTGTAGTAGATCAAAACCCTGGTCTTCAGGATAAGTCTAAATGGGCAGAGCATGAGCCAGTTTTCAGTTTGTTCTACTTTCTTGACTTCTGCTTGACAAATGAGTGTGGTCATCAAGTATGCTTAGATACTTTGAAAGACTCGTGAACTCATTGGTGTGAGTACTCCCTTTACTGAAAAATTAATCCCCTGGTATTTAGCTTTCTGTTGATGATCCTCTCTCCACACTTAGCTAGACTGGTTCTTAGACAACATGCACCAGTTCATCATTGGTCCCATCCTTGAAGCCTTTCTAGCTTTGGTAAGACCTACAAAGCTTTTGTTTCACTGGGGTGGCCTTTGACTTTTCAGGGTCACCTCCACCTTGCAATGAGGCATCACAGTAAGGGTTTAATGGAGGATATCAAGTTTAATGATAGTGTGTGTGTGTGTGTGTGTGTGTGTGTGTGTGTGTTTACTTTTGGAGGATTCAATGCATTGTATGGACATTTGGAGACCATTAAGAGATACAAAGCATTAGGTCACCTGTTTCTTACAGTTCTAAGTGCAGAATAGCTAGGAACACATTAATGTTAGTATTCTTTAGTGGTTGTTGATATGTTTTGAAAGAGGTATGCCCTCATCATTTGTTATTCATATCAAATAATCTCAATTTTCAGTATTTCCTAGTAAATCCTATTTTAACCTATTAACCACTTTTTCTAGTCTTCTCTAAATCCCTTCCAACTGTTATTATACTTTTAAGAACTCTAATTTTCCCTTCAAAAGGGCAATGAATCGTTGTCCTTTGCCCATGTTTCTGGAGAGTTTTCTTAAGGTCTTTGTTTCACAAATTGAAATGTTCTAATTTGAGGCCATATGAACTACATTTAGGGTTCTTGTACCTTCCATTAGGTCTTGGGGGATCTTGAGGTGGAGAGGCAGGATTGTAATTCTCCATAGCATTTTCCCATAGTAGAATTTGGATATTATTTCTAGAATTATCCAGTTCCCAAGGGTTCCTAGGTCTTTGCATAATGATTTTTATATCTTCAACAAATATTTATCAAGTACTAGTTATTTTCATTGCACTTGGAAGCCTAACTTGCTTGTAAACAAGGTTTGGGCTGAGGTAGCCTATTGTTTGAATCTCTCTTAAAACATAATATCCCAAGCTGGAAATACTTTTAAGACAAATCTTTAAAACATCAATTATAATTGTATTCTAGCTTAAATCATGTCATTCTTTTGTTAATGCATTTTAATAGGAGATTGCTTTTTTAAAATTACAGCATTTTATTATTTATTATGTTCAATTTCTGTTTCCAGATTCTTTTGTCCTTGTAGCTTAACAGTCATTTTCACCTGTGTGGTGGGATCTCCATGATTATTACCCATTCTTTTAAAGTGCCCATTCAACTTGATTCAGGTCACATATTGTTCATATTTTCTAGTGTGGTAAAAATCCTATTCAATTTAACATCATCTATGAACTTAATGAATACAGTCTTTAAGTGATTGTGATCATAAATAATAGCTAAGGCCATTATTGTAGCAGTTCTGTGGACCAGAATATTGTTTAGGTTATTTAATGAGAGACTATGCTGATAGAAAAGCAAAATCCTTCCTAAAGTCTATTTCACGGAGTGTCTCTTTTCATAGCTTTAAATTTACCATGGTATCATTCTTTTATCATGGTGTCTTTTATTCTTTCAGTATAAAAGAGATTTTTTACCTCCTGTTTCCTAAATGTGGAAACATTGATATGTTCAGGGTGGGTAGGGGGAGCCGGGAGTGGGGAGGGGTGGATTTTTAGGAGATGTTTATCTGGGCACACAACACTATTTCATTGCTTTTCTTTCTGCCTTGAAAATCCCATTTTTTTCTAGTTTAACATTCTAATTATATGTCCCAATGCTTAATTTTTTCGGCCTTTAACTCATTTAGTCTTACTTTATGGTGATATAGGTGAAATAACTGCTGTATAAATATGGAAAGTAACTGTTTCACAGAGAAAATTAGTGGTCAATGACAGATAAAAACTGTTAGCATTAGTTTCTAAGCAGTTGCTATTTCCTGCCGAGTTACTCAGTTTTATTTTTTTCCAGTTGGTTGCTCTTGGCATAGAATCAATTTGATGCCTAGGGAGGTTTTCAGGGAAATGGAAAGGTATACTTCCCTGAGGAGCTTTCATTTTAATTGGTTACATAGGAAAGGCATTAATACTTACTCTACACATGGACAAAATCAATAGGTATAAAAATAATAAAAGCTGGGTTGAAATCTACATAAGTACTGAATGTTAGGGAAGATCTGTAGGAAGAAAAAAGACATGAAGATTAATGGAATTATCTGAACACCACAGAAAAGATGAGTTTCCATAATATTTTAAAGGGAAGGAAATAGAGATTCTGGCAGAGAAATGGAGTAAGGTATTACAGACATAGTAAATGGGATGTTCAACAGCTAGAGGGATAGCCATGTGCAGGAAAAGTAAGTCTTTTTGTTTGGAGTGGAGAACATCAACTGTGGCATGTTATGGGTAGATGAGAACATATAGTTGGGAACATTAGATGGGAATGTATGAGGTCAGGAGATTGTAGAGGTCAATGAAACATGAGTGTTATTTTGATTTTAAAAAGCATTTGGGACCTCTTTCAAGTTTTAAAGAAGGATTGATACAACCAAAACAATACTTGAAGAAAATTCTTACTATTGAGTAGGCTGGTGGTATGAGGAAGGGAATACTACAGATGAGATAAATAAAAAGGCATCATGAAGCATTCAGGTGTTAGGTGGTTTTACTCAGAGTAGGTGGTGCAGTGGATAAAGTGCCAGACTGGAAGTCAGGAAGACTTATCTTCTTGAGTTCAAATCTAGCTTCAGACACTAGCGGTGTGACCCTGAGTAAGTCACTTAACCCTATTTGCCTCATCTGTAAAATGAGGTGGAGAAGCAAATGACAAACCACTCTAGTATCTTTGCTAAGAAAATCCCAAATGGGGTCATGAAGAGTCAGACATGACCGAAAAACAACTGAAGTACAAAGTTAAGCTACTTGATATTTAATTATGGTTTTGTATTTTATCTCATTAAAAATACCTATATGAATTGATGTTATATTGATTCTATAACAGCCAGTCAATAAACATTGTTAAGTATTTACTATGTGTCAGATGCTGTGCTAAGTGTTAGTTAATTCTATAGTCATACCCAGCCACTTTCCCTTATGTTACTTAAATAGATTTAAATTCATAAAAGGACTTTATCCCTTACTTCGTGTTTGCTTAATGACTTCCTACTGATGGATTTCTTGCCTCTCCTCTCTTCCTACCCTCCCCAGTGTCCCCACTTAATTATGACCCTCCTCTTTGATCCTTTTTTTGAGGGTACTTTTAGAGAATTAAAATGTATTATGTAGTTGTAATTTATGAAAATAGTTTATCTTTCCACATAAAGGTGACCATTATTACATAATAAAAATATAATAAAAATCAAGTTGACTGAGAGGTATCTAGATATAATGGGGGAAAAAATGGACCTGGGTTCAGATCACAGCTTTGCCACTTATTACCTGTATGACTTCAGGTAATTCACTGTACCATGAGCTCCTTGAGCACAGAAACTATCCTTTGCATTTCTTTCTATCCCTAGCACTTAGCCCAATGACTAGCACATAGTAAATTACATAGACTCTTTTCATTATCAAGGGCAGTGGAGCCACCACATATAGACTAACATCATAAATTACTAACTTCAGTCTCAGATATGTTGTTAGAAGAGGAAGAAATGACATTGAAGCGAATAAAGATAGAAAAAGAAGAACTAGACCAAGTACATACAGGAGAGGTCTGTGCTAGAAGCAGCAAAACATGGATTCTCATTGTATCTGGAGGAAAAGAAGGTGCCAAAGAAGCTATTAAGAAAACAAATAACTCTAATCCAGATGAATACTTCTCCTAGAAAGATATTTGAGAATTGTCTACACATACCTTGTATCCTTACAGAAGGTACACAGTAAGCAGGCTTTTCCAAGGGATATTCCACTGTAGACCTCATCTTTTAGTATCATATAACTGACTACAAGATGTAAAGAATACATAGTCCCACTGTGCTTATTGTTGATTTTTTTTTAAAAATCACTTTAATAAAGAGAAATTCCACTGTTTAGTATAAGCATGTCTATCACATATGTCAAAATTATACAAAATCTTTGAAAAATAACAGGCATAACTTAACAACCTTTTGATCATTACTGTCAGGGTATAACACAGGTATATAAACAGGTATAAAACAAGGAAATATATGCTTACCTGAATTGTTGCCATTGTCATTGAGGAGGGCCAGCTTAGAGTTAAA